TCTTACCATCCAAACATGATTAATTTATGTACATAAAAATTTCAAAATAGTGAAATTTTGTTTTTCTAGCATTTTTAAGAAAAATAATGACTATTCATTAAAAACCATTGTAAAAATTGCTTATAAAAATATCACGATATTATCGTGATACTTTGGGAAAAAATCGTGATATATCGCGATATGAAATTTTTGGCGATACCCATCCCTAGTGTCAAACTGGAAAACAGGCCATGAACAGCCCGTAGTCGTCAAGCAGATTTGATTTCTTAACTTGAATAAATAGGACAAACACTCCGGATACTAAATTAGCTGCGAGATTTTTCCGACCAAGCCCAGATCTATTTATTTAGGTGGGTCCCCCCAAAACACGTTGCCATCCTGGGGTTTTTTTTGTTAAGGGTAGGAAAAATTTTTTCCGGATTTTTTTTTTTTTTTTTTTTTTTGACCAATTAAACTTCAGACTCCTGTGGTAGAATTTAGTTCGCATCTTCCTTACTTCAAAGCATAACATCAAAAAATTGTACAAAGAAGATTAAAATATCGTATTATTTTCGGCGAATTACTGCTTATACCGTACTTTGTTCTTTATCTAGATGGGCAATCCGGTTTTGGAATTTTCAATTTCACCCTGGAGGTCAAATGGGAAAAGAAGGACGCTTTTCACTTTACAAAAACCTGGTTCCCAAAACTCCTCAGAGAGTGTGTCTTATGCAATAGCCATTTCACATTTGCAAGATGATTTGGGGTATCCTGCAGATGTGGAATAAGGTTTCGAAATTTTATTTTTACCCCTGAGGTCCATAGGGTAAAACTAGAACTGTCCAATAGGGACAAATACCCCCCGCAGGGTTTTTCAGAGAAGGTGCCAATTCAAAAATACTTTATGGATCTAGAGGTGTTCACAATTTACTTACAAAAATTTGCAGTCTGTGAAATATAATTGCTCATCATGTTTCTTAATGAATGAAACAAAGGTGCAACCAAATGAAACATCAACACTAATTCATTGTAAATCCATTGTAACATTATTTTTTTTTATTTAATTTGTTTATTTCTGCATTAAAAAAATATATTGCAATTATGTGTTTTGTCACTGAGACTGCAACTGATTGTTGAAAAAAAATCATATTATACAAAATCAAATTAATCTTGATAACTTTATATCAAATTCATTTGAAAATAAAGAGCTGGTCATCCAATAATGAAGTGCTTTGACAGACAATAAATTACAATTAAGAGAAGAGAGATCTTTAATTCCTGTGCCTGATTCCCAGGAGATTACACATGGTTGATAATGAGATGCCTTAATGTTCAACTTCCCACACCAAACTCATTAATTTATCTTTAACTGGATGCATGTCCAGTCATTATTCTCAAGAGATAAATAAAAACATAGGTAATCAGAGATTACAGAGCTCACCTCAACGAATGTTGTCTTTAAGTAAGGCAAAGTCACACAATTAACCAACAAAAAGTGTACATTCCAAAAATGAAAATATTTAAGCAATTTTGATCTGATACTTTGAAATAGACCTACATAAACAATTTAAACTAGTTCTTCTTCATGAAAATGTAATCAAAATCCAGCATCTGAAGCAAATTTGAGAATTTTCATCTCTTGATGAAAACTTTAACCTGTTCACTCAACCGCAAAATGTAGGTCAGATTCAGCATCCGAAGCAAGCCCGGTAGTGTGCATCCTTAGATGTATCATCCATGCAAGTTTGGTCAACATACGGCTTATAGTTACTTGGAAATGAAACCTGCACCAAAAACTTCAACCTGTTCACTCAACCACAAAATGTAGGTCAGATTCAGCATCCGAAGCAAGCCCGGTAGTATGCATCCTTAGATGTATCATCCATGCAAGTTTGGTCAACATAGGTCTCATAGTTACTTGGAAATGAAACCTACACCAAAAACTTTAACCTGTTCACTCAACCGGAAAATGTAGGTCAGATTCAGCATCCGAAGCAAGCCCGGTAGTATGCATCCTTAGATGTATCATCCATGCAAGTTTGGTCAACATAGGGCTTATAGTTACTTGGCAATGAGACCTGCACCAAAAACTTTAACCTGTTCACTCAACCGGAAAATGTAGGTCAGATTCAGCATCCGAAGCAAGCCCGGTTGTATGCATCCTTAGATGTATCAACCATGCAAGTTTGATCAAGGTAGGTCTCATAGTTACTTGGAAATGAAACCTGCATCGAAAACTTTAACCTGCTCACTCAACCGGAAAATGTAGGTCAGATTCAGCATCCGAAGCAAGCCCGGTAGTATCCATACTAAGATGTATCATCCATGCAAGTTTGGTCAACGTAGGGCTTATAGTTACTTGGCAATGAGACCTGCACCAAAAACTTTAACCTGTTCACTCAACCGGAAAATGTAGGTCAGATTCAGCATCCGAAGCAAGCCCGGTTGTATGCATCCTTAGATGTATCAACCATGCAAGTTTGGTCAACGTAGGTCTCATAGTTACTTGGAAATGAAACCTGCATCGAAAACTTTAACCTGTTCACTCAACCAGAAAATGTAGGTCAGATTCAGCATCCGAAGCAAGCCCGGTAGTATCCATACTAAGATGTATCATCCATGCAAGTTTGGTCAACATAGGGATTATAGTTACTTGGAAATGAAACCTACACCAAAAACTGCACCAAAAATGTTAACCTGCTCCAAAAACATTAACCTGGTCATTCCTTTGCTGAAATTGCAGCATCTGAAACTTTGACTGGTACAATGAAACACACTAGAACCATCTTCCATGCATGTCTAATCAATATAGGACATAGAAGTACTTAAAAAGAAAACTGCTCCAAAAAACTTAACCTTAACCTGGGACGCCGACGCCGACGTGGACGCCGACGCCGACGCCGACACCGACGCCGACGCCGAGGGTATTACATAAGCTCCCCCAACTTCGTTGAGGTGAGCTAATTACATTATCTTCTGTGCAATGTAAAAACTGTGTTTTTAACACTTGATGATGTTTCTTTTTTTTTAGTTTATATGAGTTGTTTTAAGCTGTACAGTAGTATTTTTGTAAAGATATTCTAGATTCTATGTCTCAAACCTTATACATGAGCCCAAAATGAACAAGTCAATTAAAATAAAAAATAAAACCTGTAAAATGCAAAAAAATGAACAAAAAGAGATGAAAATTCCAGTTGCACACCTTCATATGGTGAATAATAAGTGTACAAATTTTCAGATTAATCCTTGCAATAGTTTCTGAGAAACGGTCCGGACAAAACCACAAAATAAAAATGGAAAAACACCTGTAAAATTCAAAATAATAATCGAATCAAGATGAAAATAGCAGGTGCACAACTTCATATGGTGAATAATATTTGTACAAATTTTCGGACAAATCCTTCCAATAGTTTCTGAGTAATGGTCCGTACAAAATCTCGTCTACAGACAGACAGACAGACGGACAGACAGACAGACGGACAGACGGACATGATGATTCCAATATACCCCCCCTAAACTTCGTTTGCGGGGGGTATAAAAAGTTTTTGCTATTAAAAAAAAAACTGGTTCCCCAAACTTCTTGGACTACATTTTACTCAGTATCTCATCTTTTGCAATACCGGTATGATTGAAAGTGTGCTATAAATGTGTAATAAGGTTACGGAATTTTCATTTTCATTCTGCTTAGCCAAATAGGGTTAGTGTTTTTTTCTTTTTTTGCAAAAAAACATTGGTTCCCAAAACTCCTTTCCTATTTTACGCAATAGCCAAATTATCTTTTACAAGATGGTTAGAGTGTCCTGCAGATGTGCAATAGGGTTTCTTTTTCATTTTTTCTGTGAAGGTCAAATGGAGGTTTAAAAATTACGGTTATTTTACCTAGTAGTCTCTTTTCTTTTGCAAGACGATTTGTTAGTCTAATTTTAGTACATTGTGTACATGTACATGTAACCATATGCATGTAAAAAATCATTTCCTGTATTTCGTTTTAAGTCAGTGTTTTTGCAAATTCTGTGGCCGATTCAATGACTTTTTTTTGCAAATACAATCTGTCCTTGGGTCAAATAATGACTGACGACTTTCATACAAACTGTTAACTAGCCATTTTTTTTTCTCAATGAATTGACTACTGATTTTTTCAGTTTACCCAACTGTGACAGGCACACGTTGGTGTAACCGATCGGCAAGGGAATGCTTACTCCCAAATGGCACCTGATCCCACCTCTGTTTTAAGAGGTCTGTATGTGTTAGTTCTGTTCTTTTAAAATTTGTATTGTATTAATGGACTTTGAGAATACTCACTCTTTGTTTTCTTAACATTTGATTAAAAAGAAGCTATGGACCGGATAGAAATTTTAAACCTTAATTTGTTCTGATCTCTGCTACCATTGACTTGACTTTGACTATATGACCTTCGGGCAAAGTCGAGGTGTTTTTAGGTCATTAATCTTCTGTTTCACCTGAACGAATCCAAACGACATTGCGACAAGATTATGACACATTCTCCACTTAAACTTTTTATGTATAAAAGTATTGGTTTCCAAATTTTCCATTACACTGATAGAGAGCAGACAATAACTGAGCTAAGAAAATATCAATAATAAATAAATGTGCTAAGCATTTTCTGGTCTCTTTTTTCAGAGCTACAGGACCCATTTGACAAAATAACTTTAGTATAAGACCAAAGTGTGATTTTGCTTTTAAGTTCTATTTTTACAATAATATCAAAAATGGTTTTGATCATTTTTAAAAGAATTTTGGAAGATATGTTTATGCAGATAATTTCTAATAGAATCATTAATTTTGTGAGACTTTATAATCACCTAAGGTTTTTGGTCATAATTGTACCTTTTTTTTTTGGTAAATCTGTTCTACCGCTAAATGAAAGTAATTAATGAATATAATTTTTAACTTTTCCATTCTATAACTCTCTAATCAAAGACTCAATACTGATATAAAAGTCAAATAATATTTATATTTATACACAATGTATTCACTATATTTACATAATAAATAATATGTTGAATTGTAAAACATTTAATAATAATCATCAAGAACATGTTTGAAGCCCTTTTTGTAATAAGTCCAACATGATTGGATAAATTTCAGCAAACTCTTTTGCTTGCCTGGATTTCATTTGATTTACATATCCCTCCAAAGCACCCCTGCAAAAAAAATATAAAAAAAAAATAAATAAACAAAAATCAAGACATCCATGGACCAAAATGATTCATTTGGGGTCATTCAATAATTCAAAAATTGTGAGCAATCTGTTGGGTTTCAGATATTTTTACAATGTGTTTTCTTTTTATCAAATTTTTTGGCATATCACCCTTGCACTTTTCTGACCCAAAATCAAAGTGCAGAAGAGGCAGTTTCTCAGGAAATGGGGTTATTGTAGTTTTTCCACAAATAAACTATTTTTCAATTTGTCAAATTACAACTGTGGTTTATGAAAATGTAAAAGAAAAATTGACAGACAACATGCAGCTGGATGATAGACACACTTTGATCAGCAATGCCTACTTGCGCTTTTTCACAGCTGAGCTTGAAATATTAGTACCTGCCAAACTGCTGGAACTATGCTAAGATTGAACAAGAGGCCCATGGGCCACATCGCTCACTTAAGCTCATTGGCTACAGAAAAAAAGCAAAAACTGGTTCAGCATTCAAAAGTGAACAAGGGTAGCGGGAGATTGAATATTAAACTACCTGATGATGCTTCCATATCGAATTAACAAACGTCAAGATTTGTTCTATTTATTCATTTTTAAAAATCTGATCCCCCATTGTGACCCAGCCCTACCCCAGGGGTTCTCATTTGAACCAATTTGATTCTACACTACCTGAGGATGCCTCCATATCAATATGCCTAATCATGGTTTTTCTGTTCTTGAAAAAAGATTTTTTTTCCTGTGTATTCCTTTGTAAAATTTTGATCCCCCATTGTGGCCCCAACCTATTCCTGGGGTCATGATTTGAACAAATTTAAATCTACACCACCTGAGGATGCTTCCATATAAATATGACCAATCATGGCTTTGCTGTTCTTGAGAAGAAGATTTTTAACGATATTCTCCTATATATTTCTATGTAAAACTTTGATCAGCCATTGTGGCCCCATCCCATCCTCGGGGCTCATGATTTGAACAAACTTGAATCTACACTACCTGAGGATGCTTCTACTTAAGTTTCATCTTTTCTTGCCCAGTGGTTCTTGAGAAGAAGATTTTAAAAGATGCCATTATTTTTTTTCAATTCTTATTATCTCCCCTTGAAAGGGGGTATGCTCCTTCATTTGAAGAAACTTGAATCCTCTATACCCAAGGATACTTTGTGGCAAGTTTGGGTGAAATTGGCCAAGTGGTTCTGAACCCCTTCCATGGCAAAGATTTTAAGCATTTTTAGACAAAATTATATTAAGATTTCAATGCATTTTTTTTGGGGTATTTCTTGTAATTTTTGTATATACCAATGTATATATATTCTGAAACCAGGTATTGTGTTGTTTCTGAAAATGATTATAAAAATTTCATTTCAGTTGCCATGGCAACGAAGTACACCATAACCATGCTGGAATTTCCATTTATTAAACAATGATTTTTATTCTAGTTTTTTGCATAGTTAAATATATAAAAAAATATTTTATTGTTGTGGACATTAAAAATTATGAACATGTTGTACATGTTTTTACAAACCAATTTTAAGTATTTGGGGGGATTGGGTAGGGTTGGGATGTAAACATGTACCAGAATTAAGCATTTTTACATATAATGTGTTACCCCCACATTGATTTCGAGAATGGCAAAATCGCTCAAATAGTGATCAAAGTTTTACTCAAACTAGCACAAACTGGTACGACCAATTAAAAATATTTTCTGAATATTATTTTTCCGTATTTATTTTCTCTTTCCAACGGTGCAAGATTTATTCTGATATGTCTATTATTCAAAAAGTTATGAATGTTTTTTCACACTATACTTGTTCTTCAAGTCAGAGGCGTAGAAATGCGTATATGCCATGTAAGGGGTTAAGAAGAAGTTGAAAATGTGAAAAGTCTACGGACAGACAGACAGATAGACAGTCAGAGGGTCAGCTAGGCAGGTGGATGTCAGACAAAATGTGATCAGAAAGGCCCACTTGAGCCTTCACCTCAGGTGAGCTAAAAAGTGACTCCATGGTTAATACTTACTTGATAAGAGTGAGTCTATCCTTTTCAGAAGGGTGGTCCTCTAACCATTGTGAATACCTACTGATGGACCAGTCAGCTGACTAAAAGTATTTTAACAAATTATTTAAAAAATTTTCTGCAGGTTTTGAAAAGTTCAGTCAATTACAACAAATGTACAGTCTTCAAACACAAAACAAAAGAATCAAACAAATTGTAGGATTTTTCTAGCTTTTTCAATACTTTGACACATATTCAATCTCACAATTTGAATTCCATTAAGAAAATATAATGTTCACTTTTTTTTTAAACCATGTTACAATGAAGCGCATTGAGGTGGTAAAATTTTCCATTTGGATGGAACTTCAAACACAAAACAAAAGAATCAAACACATTGTAGGATTTTTCTAGCTTTTTCAATACTTTGACACATATTCAATCTCACAATTTGAATTCCATTAAGAAAATATAATGTTCACTTTTTTTTTAAACCATGTTACAATGAAGCGCATTGAGGTGGTAAAATTTTCCATTTGGATGAACATTTTGAGCTATCTTTAGAAGTTGATTGCCATATGACGAAACACCCATTTCTTTAGAAAGGAAAAACTTGAACAAATGGTTCATTAGAATACCTGTGGAACAGGTATTCCATAAATATAATAGCCAATCAAATTGACTTGCTACATAAACACAGAGTAAGCATGTGTTTGATCGAAACATGTGTTATGGTAACTCCAATAAATATAATAAATTCATAATTATGGACAAATTCATTGCAATATGTGTTTTAAAGAAGCAGGAACTCTCTAACTCTCTCTCTTATAACGTTAAAAATCTCCACTTCGGTGTAATTCATGTTGCTTGTCACGAAGAGTGGGGTGTTCTTAAACATTACGACGATTGTTTCTTTTTCGTTTCTAAAGATATGGGCATGTCATTATGTTAAAATTGATACTCAAAACATGACTCGGAACGTTTCATCCAAACAGAAAAATTTACCACTTCGATGCGCTTCATTGTAATATCAGTTAAGAGAAATTTCTAAGGGTAACAGTAATGACAAGCTTCTGTTAAAACTTTAAAGTGTGTACTGTACCTGATGGGGAGATTTCATTTCCTGTGGAGCTCTCGCGAACAAGAAGTGCAGAATGGTACTGTATGGAATGATGTCACCAATGGCCTGACTTTTACTGATGTGTTCAGCATTCTGGAACAGGAGAGGCCTGAAAATAAAGAGAACATAAAATGATTTATTTTTTTTATATACCATTTAAGGAAAAAGAGAAATTATTTCTGTCAATCCTGAACACAATTAACCGCTAATTGATAATCCATTCTATTGCTGAGATTAAACCATTTTTGACTAATGGACTGTTTTGTTGTAAAAAATAAATTGCATGGTAAAAAAATATAAGAGTCTTAAAAAATTTTAAGCTTCTGTGACAGAATGCTAAGGAGCATGTCACGTGACTGCCCCTATCACGTGATCAGTGCATGGGCAGAATGGTTGCAGATGCGCATTAAAATCAGAGAGGAGTACTTTGAACACTGAAACCCTATATCATTTCTTTTTTGGAAGTTATTCAGTTAGTTCGCGAACTTTTTGATCACCCCTCGTACTTTCAGCTTATATGACTGCATAATCATTTTAAATGAGTATTAACATTTTTAGTTGTAACTTAAAACAGCATCAATTACTCAAATTTCTTTGTATTTCCTTACTATGATAAACTTTTAAGGAATATGTTATATTGCTCTGCTCCTTATATGAGCCTATGATGAACCTACCTAAATGCCCTGAGTAATTTGTAGTGGTTTCCAAGATCAGACACTTTCCTACAGAAGGGTGATATGGCTAACTCCATCTGGGCAAAATCAGCGGCCAGTCTCATCTTACCGCCCTCTCCAAGAGGCCGAATCAAACTGGCGTGCCTCACAAAGAGCTCAACGCAGCGACAGGCAATAGGTTTTATACTAGTAAAAAGAATCGGCAAATACAGCAGTCTTATGTCACTTTTGAAATCATATACCATGAATCTTGAGACTTTGGATGCCCCCAACTTTATATCTTATTCATTACTTTCCATGCCAAGGAGAAAAAAAATTCAGATCCAAATTGTACTTCAAAAATGTTGAGTGAAGTATGTTGTATAGATCTCATATTTGATGTGTAGAGGTAATGAGTTGTTTTTGGCAATAGTCCTAATTTGATTAAATGTATTTGTAAAGATTGCCCAAAAATTTGAAGAAATGTAGCAATAATGAATTGAAATTTTTGGCAATGTAGCAGTAATGTTGACCTCAGCTTTGTTTGTATAGAAGGATCAATTAAAAGCCATATATTTACCTATCATATATAAAATCCTGACACTCGTATCTAGATAAATAGTCGGTCTGACAGCGAGACACAAACTCCTGGAGCTCTCTCATGTACAGAGAACACTGTGCCTCTTTGCTTGGGTCTGGTGTAGCTGAGCTGTAAACAGAAAATAATTTTATCAAGACTACCTTGGCCTGTAATGATATTTCTTAAATCATTGAAGATTTTTTTATTGTATATAATCCAGCTTGGTCAACATTCCAACTTCAGAAAGAGGAAAGTCCAGCTGGGAAACATTCCCTCTCAATTTTCACAGATTTTTTCTATAAGTTCATTACTTCCACAAAAGTGTACTAAAAAATTACCTTGAGAAGTCCTCTTGGTGCATGGTAAGAATGATGGCTTCTACAGCATCAAGGACCGAGGACATCAGAGGAGAAATAGCATTACTCATGAGGACCACCACTCCCTGTATACAAAACAGATAGTTCTTACACTATTCAGTAAGAATTCAGTCAACATTTGTGATTTTTCACAGAGTTAAAAATGCTCTTTTTTCATGCAGGATAAATTTATGTCATGTATACATAATCTTTGAGATTTCCTAAGACCCTAGAAAACAAGGTTGAAAAAGTAGTTGGGATTTCCAACTAATTTTGACATCTCTCTGATATTGTAAGAAAACAAAGTTCTACTTTATATGATAATTTGAATTGTCCTACATTGCATAGTGTGAATGGCATTGCCTATGAATGAGAGTGCATTTCCTCCAAACAAGCCAGAATGCCTTTGGTTGATCCAAGTGCAATGGTCTTAAAAATTCTAAATATTTATTAAATAATAAAGATACTTGTAATGGGCAACATGCATTGACAACATTATAGAATCAATATACAGTTGAACTTGTGTATCTTGAACAGTGATATCTCAAATACCATGGACATGTTGAATTTGATTCCAAAGTCCAAACCCCTATTCTTTAAATATGTATCTTATCCTGGATATCTGGAATCCTTTACTATCTCAAACGTTTTTTTCTCAGTCCCATTGAATTCAATATTAAGGTTTGACTGTAAATTTAGCCAAAAGTCACCTGAATAACAAGGGTGATCTTAAGATTATGCCTTTACTGTTAATTGACATAACCTGTCATATATTATGCCCAACTTTTAAATGCCAGTTAAAATTATAATATATATCAATAATTCTCACTCCTATCCAAATGAGCTTTAATCCCTTCCATGGCAAAGATTTTAAGCATTTCTAGACAAATTGATATTAAGAATTCAATGCATTTTTCTGAGTACATGTATTTCTTGTAAATTTTGTATAATTATTATACCAATGTGTATATATTCTGAAAGCAGGTATTGTGCAGTTTCTGAAAATGATTATACAAATATCATTTCAGTTGCCATGGCAACAAAATACACCATAATCATGCTGGAATTTCCATTTATTCAAGAATGATCATATTTCATTCCAGTTTTTTTTGCTTAAATATATTAAAAAATATTTTATTGTGTTGAAAATTATGAGCATGTTGTACATTTTTTTTACAAACCAACTGTATACAGTAAGTATTTGGGGGAAATGGAGTGGGTTTGGGAGGTAATCACCAAAATTTAGCATTTTTACATATTATATAACGAGTTACACCCGCATTGATTTCAATAATGGCAAAATCGCTGAAATAGTGCACAAATTTTAATTCAATCTAGCAAAAAACTGGTACAACCAATTAAAAAAAATTTTATACATCATTTTATCATAATTATTTTCTCTTTCCAACGGTGCAAGATTTATTCTGATATTTGCAGTAGTAACGAAGTTATGAATGTTTGTACACACTATACTTGTTTTTCAAGTCAGATGCATAGAAATGCATATATGCCATGTAAGGGGTTAATTGTCACAAACAGCAAGAAAATAATCATAGTTCATATCCCAATTATCCCACTCTTTATTTATCACTCCAGGTGTTTTTAATAATAAAATTATACTCTGCAAGAAAGATTACCCAGTAATTTTTTTTAAGTTTATACATCTAGAACAATTTCTACAAGTGTAAATCTTCTTAAATGTTCCTTTATAGACAAATGAGCTACCAAAATGCTTTCAATTATATGGTATGTAACACATGTAATAAGTTGGTACATGCTGCCCACCCCAAACCCATTGACAATTACTGATAAATATTTACATACACTGAATATTTTCTCCTTTATTTCTTAAGAAACCCCATTGCGTTCATCACTGCATAAAACATAGGCATTCGCCTTAAATGTAATCCTGTTATATGAAACGTATAAAGATGATCATTAATACAATAATTAATCAACTTTAATTGATTTCAAACATATATAAATATGTAAAACACATGTAATAAGTTGGTACATGCCCACCCCAAACCCATTGACAATTACTGATAAATATCTCTCTCCAGTGAATCTTGATATTTTTTTCAACCACAGTAATCTTGCCTCTCTCCCGTATCTGTTCTGAAGTAATCTTCTTCCAAAAAATGAAAATAATTTTTCATCTTCTTGTGTTAGGGAAAAGTGCAAGGTATGAGTTCGAATCATATAATTTGAACATCATTTGGTGCCATGGTATATTGTGAAAAAGCAAAGATTCATGTGTACGATTAGACAGAACTCCTACTTTTGTAGGTATAATGCAATTCTTTAAACTTCGATTTATCAGTGCATTCAGAATGATGCATTAAGAATAAACACAGGACAGATAATTTGTCATGATAAACAGGGAAATCTGCACTTCTTCATTAATTTTTTATTGTTTTACAATGCAAAAAAAGCTTATGATTATGATGAAGCAAAAGTAAAGGTAAGGTTTTATTTAGGGAATCTTGGTTTTTTGCAGATGCACTTATTAATAAATTATCATTAATATATGAAGATGCCTCTCTGTTAATAGACTACTCTAAAATGATAGATTACTGTGCTTCATTTATAGAACAAAAAATCATTATCTGGACTTCATCAATTTCCTTATACAATTTGAGTGCTTTCAATACATTAACAAATTTGCTTGAATTTTATGTGTACTTGCATATTTGAAGAGAAAATATTTATAATTACATAACATGCAATTTTGTATAGCAGAGGATTGCTCTCATGAACATGTAAGTTGACAAGGGTGGATCCAACATTTCAAGTTCTGGGGACTGGAGATGGGAATTAAAGTTTTATAACAGAAGAATCTCACAATTCTTCAAGTTGAATTAAATTGTATTACATAATTAGTTTTTTTTTTTTTACTTTTAAAATGGAAAGGGACAAGTTGCCTTTTTAAGGGGGGAGGGGGGGTCTAAGTGCCTCCATTTGCATCCGCCCTTGTTAAGAATGAATGACAAATATGCTCGTAGATATTTCAGGATAAAATGATAGAAAAAACAGCTTACCGGAGGAGGTTTACCCTGATATATAATATGTATGATGTATAAAGCATTAATGAATGTTTTTCATTATAATAATGTCCAGGACTTTCATACATGTATATTGTTTGGTGTTACAATTCGAATATCAATTATATGAATATGTATTTAATACAATTAGGATACACATATATATATTCAAAATTAAATTTATACGTACATGCATTCTGATTATATTTCACTGGAGAAAAGTTTAACAGAAATATATTTGTGCAGCAGGTATACATGCATTATTTTGTTTAGTGTAACCATACAGAAATCTAAAAAATATATTAACTTTTTGAAAATTTGATACAAACATCAACCTCGTTAAAGAAGTATGCACAATGGTGTCTGGTTTAGGATACAATTAATAAAAAACTTTTTACAGATATAAATTCATTTGTATCTACATTACTTAACTAGGTTAATTACTAACTAAATATCAAGATATGTGCCCCCAATGTCTTTGCAAAAACTTGCGAGTGATTTAAAACCAAGGACAAGCGTATTTCTCCTATACTCAACCAATAATCCATTTAAATAGTGCCAATACATTTTTATTCGATCGCTCAATTTCTGATCATCAGCATCCTTTTAACACTAAGTCTTGTATGTGAAATTGCCTGTTCAACTGATATTTGTCATGTTAGTGACAACAATGGTGTACATGCATAAGATGTCATTATCAATGAACAGCTTTGTGTCAGTTAAATGCAGTAGTCAAAAAATTGTGTCATTGATTAGTCTGTGATAAGTGATTAGTAAAAGTCTTTGGTCAAAACATGTTTTGGATTAACATGCATTTGATGAGTGAGCTTGATCCGCATATGCCTTTGATCAACATCTTGGATCTTTGTTTACAGGCAGCATATGTCTTTAATTTGCATGTCTTTAGATAAAATGTAGCAAGAATTATTATATCTACATGTACTTAGTTAGTATTGAATAAACAGATTTCCCACTAGGCAATATGGAGGATGTCAAAATATCCCTTATCAAAGAGTCTGAAATAGTCTGAAATCATATCATGCATTAAATTTATAAACTTACAAAAGTCCAAATAAAATTAGCAATAATGTTAGTACATGTATTAAGTTTGACAGTTAATTAACTTTATTTTATTGAAATATACATGCATTAATTAAAATTCATGAGCTGAAATTGTCAACTCAATTCGTTTTGAAGGACCTGAAATTGATTTCAGGTTTTTAAAGATTATATACTGTATGTGCATGGAACAAACTTCAATGACTATATGTAAACTCATATACAAATGTATTTTAAATAATTAATAAATAGAAATAATTACTATATACTTAAACCCATATTGTATGTCATATTAGCCCTCAGGAACAATTTCAGCTCATGGGCTAAGGCCTAGAAAAAAATATGTTTGTTTCCGCTTTCAGGCTGAAAAAATATAGGGTAGGTAGGTAGGCATTTTTTTTTTTTTTTTGGAAAAAAATTTTTTTGCTTCTTTAATCAAAACAGTGTATAGAAGTAACATTAATGACAAAAGAAATGGTGTTTTCAAGCATTACTGTGACTTAACTTATAATAGAAAGGTGACCCAAACTTCTTTCTGTCTTGAAAAGCTTGCAAAGTTGGAGGCTATAATTCCCTGGTTGAAATCTTGCACATCATGGGACAAAAGCATTAAAAAAATATTTAGGGTCGGCACTATAAATTAGGGTCGGTCGGGAAAGCGGAAACAAACATCTTTTTTTTTCTAGGCCTAAAGGCCACAGGCCCTTAAGCTGAAATGGGGGTGCAAGGGCAGATATGACATATGATAGGGATTTTAGTGTATAGTATTTTTTACATATTTTACCTCCAGAGACTTCTGAATGGATTCCATGGCCTCAGGGGGGAAGTGATTCAATCCTTCCAGCAACTGTCAAGAAATATGTGGGGTTCAAATGTTTCATATATTTTTAACAATGAAAATTGTATTCACTAACAAATAGAAGACCAGTGTCTTTTCTTGTCTCATATTTCTTTATTTATTGTCAACATTCTTCTTCTTCAAGTAAGTAAGTTGCCAGAATCCATGTTATTATGAACCCTGCCCTCTTTCAACAAATACCCACTCCTTGATTGAGCCAGTTTAATAATAGTCCTACCTTTGTTATGGACTGGTGCAGTAGATACAGTATATTGACCATGGTCACGTTTCTCTGTTGACCAGGAGTGGACGGTCCAATCACCTGACTGGCCTCCCCATCTGTTACCAGCTGTAAAATACAGGTTCAAATTATTGAAACATGCTGTATGTTCATGGCCAGTACTAGATACTTTTGGTTTATTGTCATCTTCAGATTAAATCTTTCAGGACTAGCTCATTAGAAAATGGCTTGTAGATGTATGAGTCCAAGGTGTATAAGGAGTGTAGGGATACAAACCAGTTGTTCACTTTTCACTGCAAAGAGCTGAATTGTCTTGGCAACATTTTTAGCCACAGTGTTGCAGAGCTTGGCATCAACATTGGCAACATTCAACTCACTACGAAGAAAATTCAACAAGAGGCCCATGGGCCACATCGCTCACCTGAGAAGTTTTGACCATTCTGTTCTTTACCAGATTTCACCTTTGTTATACATAATGCATCCCCACATTACCCCACTGATCATAACTTAGACATTTTGAAATCTACACTACCCCATGATCCTTCCATTGGCACATATGTTTCAGCTTTTTTGGCCCAGTGGTTCCTGAGAAGAAGATTTTCAAAGATTTTTCCTATATATTTCTATGTAAAACTTTTATTCCCTATAATGGCCCCGCCCTTCCCCCGGGGGTCATGATTCCTACAATTTAGAATTTACACTACCCCAGATTGCTTCCACAAAAGTTTCAGCTTTTCTGGCCCAGTGGTTCTTGAGAAGAAGATTTTCAAAGATTTTTCCTATATATTTCTATATAAAACTTTGATTCCCCATTGTGGCCCCGCCCTTCCCCCGGGGGGCATGATTCGAACAATTTAGAATCTACACTATACCAGGATGCTTCCATATAAGTTTCAGCTTTTCTGGCCCAGTGGTTCTTGAGAAGAAGATTTTCAAAGATTTTTCCTATACATTTCTATATAAAACTTTGATTTCCCATTGTTGCCCCGCCCTTCCCCCGGGGGTCATGATTTGAACAATTTAGAATCTACACTATACCAGGATGCTTCCATATAAGTTTCAGCTTTACTGGCACAGTGGTTCTTGAGAAGAAGATTTTCAAAGATTTTTCCTATATATTTCTATATAAAACTTTGATTCCCCATTGTGGCCCCGCCCTTCCCCCGGGGGTCATGATTTGAACAATTCAGAATCTACACTATATCAGGATGCTTCCATATAAGTTTCAGCTTTTCTGGCCCAGTGGTTCTTGAGAAGAAGATTTTCAAAGATTTTTCCTATATATTTCTATATAAAACTTTGATTCCCCATTGTGGCCCCGCCCTTCCCCCGGGGGGCATGATTTGAACAATTTAGAATCTACACTATATCAGGATGCTTCCATATAAAGTTCAGCTTTACCGGCCCAGTGGTTCTTGAGAAGAAGATTTTCAAAGATTTTTCCTATATATTTCTATATAAAACTTTGATTCCCCATTGTGGCCCCGCCCTTCCCCCGGGGGTCATGATTTGAACAATTTAGAATCTACACTATACCAGGATGCTTCCATATAAGTTTCAGCTTTTCTGGCCCAGTGGTTCTTGAGAAGAAGATTTTCAAAGATTTTTCCTATATATTTCTATATAAAACTTTGATTCCCCATTGTGGCCCCGCCCTTCCCCCGGGGGTCATGATTTGAACAATTTAGAATCTACACTATACCAGGATGCTTCCACATAAGTTTCAGCTTTACTGGCCCAGTGGTTCTTGAGAAGAAGATTTTCAAAGATTTTTCCTATATATTTCTATATAAAACTTTGATTCCCCATTGTGGCCCCGCCCTTCCCCTGGGGGTCATGATTTGAACAATTTAGAATCTACACTATACCAGGATGCTTCCACATAAGTTTCAGCTTTACTGGCTCAGTGGTTCTTGAGGAGAAGATTTTTTAATGACCCCACCCTATTTTTGTCTTTTCTTGATTATCTCCCCTTGCGAGGGGATATGTCCCTTCATTTTAACAATTTAAATTCCCCTTTACCCAAGGATGCTTTGTACCAAGTTTGGTCAAAATTGGCCCAGTGGTTCTTGAGAAGAAGTCGAAAATGTAAAAAGTTTACAGACGGACAGACAGACGGACAGACGGACGGACAGACGGACAGACGGACAGACGGACGGACGACGGACAAAATGTGATCAGAAAAGCTCACTTGAGCCTTCGGCTCAGGTGAGCTAAAAATTAGAACTTGTATTTTTCATTGAAGAAAACACTAAAGTTTAAAGAGTTTATTTTTTGAGAGAAAAACTGTAAAAGCAGAAATATTTATTTATTGGGCAATTAAATTCTGTTTAATATATTTTTTAATATTCTTTTAAAAACTTTATATATTCATTGATATCTTTTATTTCACCTCATAAATCTTAATATAAATAGTATTGATACTATCAATATTATCATGAATATGATCAGATGTCAAACCTGGAAATAGTTTTGACGATTGTTTCCACTTCCTGTGTAGTTGGGGGGTTCGCTGAACTGAAGGCAAGGTTAATGGGGTCAAATAATCTAGATAACGACTTGGACAGGTAAGCATTCTCAAACTTTGTTAGTGTATTCCTTAATGCTTTTTCTGAGCTGTAAAATTACAAAAAAAATTCATACATCAACCCCTATATTCTAGTAACTTTGAGTTTTGTTTTGCCCTACTGAACTATTAAGTATTGTCACTGTTTCTAACTTGACCAAAAAAGGTGCTTGAGTTGATAACAAATTGAGTACTAAATTCATGGTTGAATTCCAGTTATTTTATTTATGACAGGTCATTCTAACTGCATAAGTCTACTACAGAATTAGAACTCTTTTGTGTACAGTGTATCGAGGGTCCTTAGGATTGGGAAGATGCTAGGCTTACTCGTACTGGTTCCGTTTACTTCCTGGAATAAAGATGTCATCCTCTGTATTTGTTTCTTCTTCACCTGAAGGCTCCGATTGCGACACTGACGTTGCAGTGGTGATACTGAATTGTTGAAGTCGTCTCCAAAGGTCATTGTATAATCGTAACAACTTTGGATATTCTCCCTCAAAGGCCTGCTTTAGGTGTGTAGAGGCTATTTATGGTAAAAAATGCAGTTTTTATGTACATTTCTCACACTGGTATATTTACACATATGGAATATATATTAAATACAGAATTAAGCAAAAATGCATTAATTATATATGAAAAATGTTTAAATTTATATATGCATAATACATGTATATACCGTAAATCTGGAAATTTTTACGTCGATTTATTTTTGCGAATTTGGGTCAAAAAGCTATTGATTAATTTTTACGCTTCAAATTTTTGCGAATTGTCACTGGCGCTAAAAATAAAAATCACTTAAGATTTTCATATCAGTTTATATATCTATGTTTCAATTTAGTATGCACAGTTAGGATACCACCAATATATACTCGCAACGTGGCAAGAAATTGCAGAATCGCTCCGAAACAATTTTGAAAATAAAAATACAAAAGGATGTGCACTGAAAATAACTTCTTAATCAATGATTATAACCATTTAGGAATTTGTGGAAGCCTTTTTACCTAAAATATAATTTAAATAAAGAACAACAAAATATAATTAATTTTCTCAACGTTTGGTTTTTTCTCACCTAAAATTTACACGCCGTGTTTACATTTGGAACTCTCTAGTAAAAGCACTGAGTTCGAGTTATCGTCCGTTTTGATACATGGGTGGATAAATAACTGCCTCAGTGCTTCTCAAATCATCGGACGATATAATGAGTGCAATTTACACGCAGGGGTAATTAGCTTGTAGTTACAGTAGTATAAAGAGGTTTCTTTTTAAAAATGACCAGTGCTTATTCAATGAGTTAAAAATAGATACCAACTTTCAGAAAAAATCTTTACATGTTGATTTATTTATAAGAAAAATATTTTTGCAAATGCATTGCACGCGCAAATTTGCTAAAAAATTATCTACAGTAAAAATTTCCAGATTTACGGTAGTGGAAATTATCCACTCAATGTGCAAACATACTTCATTTTCAGAAATTCTTATGTCAGATTTTCAAATAAGTTACATGTACATGACAGGTTAGTATTGATTTGCTGTTCTTGATACAGTATGTATATATTATACTGTTTTAACTTGTACATGTAATTTTTCCTGGCCCAAGCTCTAAAGCAAACAGACTAATATCAAATAAAATGTTTTAGTCAAGTCAGAATTTTAAAACTGTCTGTGAATCACAATTCAGAATGATAACTTCACTTAAAAGAGAGATTTATTTTGGAGTCTTTGAGCTCTTCACAATGTCATAGATCAATAATTTGACTCATTTAAATTGTTTCTAGATTCTGGGGCCAGCTTATATGTACATATACAGATAAAGGACCTGATACAAAGAATACTGTACATCAATATTTTTAAATACTGCTACAATAATTAGTTATACAAAAGGTATTTGTCCTTACACTGAAATTTCCCACTGAAGAAATATCTCCAATACAATCACAGTAAAACATGCTTATAGGTAATTGGCAGGGATGAACAATTTTGATTATTTATAAACATAACTTGTTATTTACAATAAGTTTTCAATTAAGTTTTCCCTGTTTTAAAATCATAAATAATGAAAACCACTTTCCTTTTCAAAGTTGAATTCATTATAAACATGTTTGTGATAATCATGTTTTACTGTAGATGTATCCTGTACTTTTGGTTAACATTGTGTTTATGTTACAAAGTAATGTATATGGCTATAAAATCAAAAGTGAGTGCATGCAATGTGAGAGAAAAAAGGGGAGGATCACACTTCTTTTGTACTACAGTGCCAACTGATACAGTTCAGTACTTACCTTTACTTCCTAATGAGGGCAGATTTAATTAGGATGGAATAAATAATAATTATACTGAAATTCTATGTCTCATGCATTTCATTCAACAGTGCTCAAATCAAACATACATACAATTTTCTATATATCATGAAAAAATTAAAATATTGTTCATAAACAGGGCATCAAATATATCATGTAACCAAGGTTACCTTCTGAAGCATTGTTGAATTCATTGGTCAGCATGTGTGTGATGCTTTCCCAGAATTCCTGCATGATGTTGACAGGTCCCTCCTTGTGCTGCCAATCAAATAAAATGGGTGAGAACATTAGACAATACAAAAAAATAAGCCCTATTAAAGACTTTTTTTTTTTTAAAGACAAGAGACCCACGAGCCTTATAGGTCACCTGAATATCGTGTAACAACTTTTAAACAATTAAAATTGGTTCGTGTTTTACCCCAGGCCATGAAATTCACAATTCACAATTTTGAAAGAGGCACCATTGCTTATCATAATTATAAACTTAGCATGCTTACTCTATTTACTTAATACCCAGAGGTAGATCAGAGTAACAAAGAGAAAATGCACTTCCACTTTATAACCAGTTGTGCACCTCACCCCAAAGGAACCACTGACCCTGGGGCCACATATTTCAAAATTTTGCAAATTTTATCATAAAATGGTTGATTAATACTAAAGAGCATATTTCAAAGCATTAATTTATTTTCAGACTAGGTACCCCCCCCCCCCCCCCCGACCCAGGGGGCATAAAAAATAACCATTTTGCTAGATGCACCTTTCTTCATCATAAATATATACATACTTGGATCACTGGCCTAAAACCCAGGAGAAAAGGAAAAGATTTTCAAAGAATTAATGCATTTTCACTATATAATCAATAGAGCCCCGTCCCAATACCAGAACCCCTGACCCTGGGGCCATAAAATTCACAATTTGGGAAGTGGCACTCTTGCTCTTCATAACTATGTACTTAGTTGATTTATTTAATACCCATAAGCAGAGAAGAAGATTTTCAAAGAATTAATGCATTTTCACTATATGATCAAAAGACCCCCGCCCTAACACCAGAACCCCTGACCCTGGGGCCATAAAATTCACAATTTTGGAAGTGGCACTCTTGCTCATCATAACTATGTACTTAATTAGTTTATTTAATACCCAGAAGCAGAGAAGAAGATTTTCAAAGAATTAATGCATTTTCATTATATGATCAATCTATATTTTCACTATATGATCAAAAGACCCCCGCCCTAACACCAGAACCCCTGACCCTGGGGTCATAACATTCAAAATTTTGGAAGAAGCACTCTTTCTCATCATAACTATGTACTTAATTTGTTTATCTAATACCCAGGAGCAGAGAAGAAGAGTTTCAACGAATTAATGCATTTTCACTGTATGATCAAAAGAGCCCCACCCTAACACCAGAACCCCTAACCCTGGGGCCATAAAATTCACAATTTTGGAAGAAGCACTCTTTCTCATCATAACTATGTACTTAATTAGTTTATTTAATGCCTAGGAGCAGAGGAAAAGATTTTCAAAGAATTAATGCATTTTCACTATATAATCAATAGAGCCCCGCCCTAACACCAGAACCCCTGACCTGGGGCCATAAAATTCACAATTTTGGAAGAGGCTCTCTTGCTCAACATATCTATGCACTTAGCTAGTTTATTTAATATCCAAGAGCAGTGAAGAAGATTTTCAAAGAAATAATGCATTTTTACTATATAATCTATAAAGCCACTACCTAACACAAGAACCCCTGACCATTGGGCCATAACAGTCACAATTTTGGAAGAGGCACTCAATGCTCATCATACATTCATGCCAACAGTTTATTTAATACCCAGAAGCAAAGAAGAAGATTTTTCAAAGAAAAGCATTTTCATTATATGCAATAATTTTGGTATATTCAAAAGGCCCCCCCCTAACACCAGAACCCCTGACCCTGGGGTCATAAATTCAAAATTTTGGAAGAAGCACTCTTTTCATCATAGATGCTGTATACCAAAATTGGTTGAAATTGGTTCAGTGGTTTCAGAGAAGAAGCTGAAAATGTTCAAATGTTAACATTTTCACGTATGATCAAAAGAGACCCTAACACCAGAACCCCTCACCTGAGTTACTCAGGTGACCTAAAAATACTCATTCTCTTCTGTACAAATGTTGATAGTGTATATAATCAAGACACATTCCTATTAACAGCAGCTGCTATTATTTATTATTCATGATTTCTTCATTGTACCTTTCCCAGTTCTTCTATGAAGCAAACATGTGTCACTGGGTCCCTCTTCTTCACCAAAACCTTCTGTAAATGTTGCACCTGTTGTTGGAAAGAAAAGAATTCCTCTGGATACTCATAGTCCCAATTTTCACATTTTAGGCTCTTATCTACATGACTAATTTTCATGGGATTGTTTTTGAAGTATAAACGACATCCACAAATTAATTTCCTATTTAAAGTGTCAAACTTTCATACTGCAATACCATGTTTATCTTTCCTGAACAATAGTGAAGTCAAGTTCTCAAACATACATCCATTTTTTCCTGGTTTTCATCAAAACTACACCCCATGTAAATAAGTAATGCTGCATTTTCAAACTCATCTTGCAAGCAGTAGGAAATTAAGGAGGCTGGGGGGTCAATAAATTAACCATAAATTAACCACCAGATTTAACTTATTTTTTTAGATACGGTATCTTAAGCTGTCAACTATCATTTGGCAAAGAAAAAATTCATACATTTTAGTTTTAAAATTTGATCATGTTTTTATATCTTTATATGGAGCTCTTCTTTTAAAGGAGATCAAAATAGTCTGAAAATGGCTGCCACACCCCAGCCTCGTTAATCAGTAGGTTTTTTGACCTGAGCACAAGAAGCATAGATATTGTCCATCAGCTTCTCCATGTTGGTCCAGAGAGAGGCTCGGAATGCTGCAGTATTTCCTGTGACTGGCATGGCTGCCCGACCTGGGCCTCCTAGAAAGTTGTATACAAAAAAATAATGTATGAATGCACCACACTATAACTGCATATCATTCTGCCTAGAAAGGCAATATAAAGTTAACTACCAGTTATCATAGCCTAACTATGCTGGGGAACCCTATTCACTGACTGTTGCAGAAGCAAAAACATTTCTATATAGTAAACATACTTTTTCTACAGTATCATTATTTGTGGAATAACAATTCCTGTTCAATCCATTGGTAAAAAAATAATGCAGATTTCTTAAAGGCCATACATATTGCATTATATGGTTAGGTAAGGTTAGGAAGGGAGGTGGGCTGAAAAATCTGTCTTCTGTTATATTTGTAATGCTCCCTAGGGATGAGAAGGAATAAATAACTCTTCCCAATAATTGTTTATGTAGTAGATAACTACCTGGTTGATTTGTTTTGGCACTGTTTGGTTTGTATAAGTCACTCAAACACAGAGTAATAAATTACCTACAAAAATCATCTACCAAACCTTAACCTTTTAATCATAAAACTGACCTCTGCCCCTTGGAACGTTCTGTTGGGCCAGACTCTGAGCGTCCAGACTGGTTCTGACGTTCTTGTTCAGGTTTTCTATACAGTTCTGTATCACCCTCTCCACTATGTGGTGTAAACTGCCCAAGTTGTGAAACACTTGGAGAGAAGTCGCTACTTGTGTTGGATTCTATATTTCCAAAACAAAAGGCACAATTTCACCCACTAAAAATTTCTTGGATAAAAAGGAATAATGAGCACATACATTCTTAAAACCTCATTCCTGAGCAGTATATTAACAACTGTAGATACCAAATTTTCAACACATTATACTTGTATTTACAAGAAAATATTTACATGTACAAACGAAACATAATTTTTAAATATATTGGTTATGGTTGAAATTTTTAGGAGCATATTTTCTTGCTTAATTATGCCAACAAAAATTCTGGTGGATAAAATATGTTTTACAGTATTAAAATTTTATGACTCTTTTATACAAAACAAAACAACTTTCAGAAAAAATCTATATATCTACTGAGATAGCTGACCTGTGTTTCCATTCCCTGCTCTAACATTTTGTGAGCCTGTGACTCCACGTCTTTTCTGGCTTGTTTGATAAAACGACGATCCTGTTCTATGATTTCCACCCCACTGAGATCCACTCCCTCACAGATATAATCTAAATGAAAAATAAAGTACTTTGATGTTCACACTCTCCATGAAATATTAATAACTTTTTAGCATACAAATGAAAACATTCCTTTCCAGTTTTAATTTTATCATATAATCAGTATGTACATCAGTACATGTACATGAATTTCAAGCACCAGCTTGAGGTAAGGTATTTTCAACAATAAAAATCTTTCACCTAATTCGTTGAGACTTTGAGCAGCCTTGGTTATTTCCCTTGCTCCCCCCTGGAGCTGACTGTTTAACCTCTTGCCGAGGTACATGATTCTAATGATTCTTCTTAGGAGATCACAGGTATCCTAAAAAGGAAAATATTGAAAAGTAAGTAAAGGTATGTAGAACTCTCAATCGTAATTACGGCAGCAGTGTGCTGAATTTTAATTCAAGAGTATAATGGGCCTTAAGGATTATATGAGCAATAACAACAACTTTCAGTGAAAATTTGTTCATGTTTTAAGCCAGATGCTATGGTATTCACAATTTTGAAAGAAGCACCATTGATCATCATAACTTACACTTGATCTTAATTTGGTTAGGTAAGGTTAGGCAGGGTAGGTGGGCAAAAAATGCATTTGTTGTAATTTGTAATATTCAGCAATAGAAGTAATGCCCCTACCACGCATAATTGTTTAGGCCTACATGTAGATCCACACATTGCACAATTTTGAAAAGGCATCCTTGCTTTTAAAAGTATTTAAATAACACAAGGAGGAGATTTCAAAAATCATTCATTTTCCTTATATCATACAACCCCCCCCCCTTGGTACCCCTGACCCTTGGGCCTTGAAATTCACAATTCTCGAAGATTTGGGCCCTTGCTCTTCATAACTATAAAGGTAGTTCATCTGCTTAATACCCAGGAGCAAAGAAGAAAATTTTCAAAGAATTCATGTATTTTGTTATATAATCATTAGATCCAAACAAAACACAGAACCCCTAAAAACCCTGGGGCCATAAAAACAATTTTAAGAGGCATTCTTCTCATCATAACTATGTACTGAGTTAGTTTATCTAATACCTAGGAGCAGAGAAGAAAATTTTCAAACAATACATGTATTTTCACTATATAAAATATTTACATGCCCAAACACACATAATTTTTAAATATATTGGTTATGGCCATAAAATTGAAATTTTGGTAGGAGGCACTATTTTCATCATAACTATGCACAAAAGTTTATTTAATACCCAGGAGCAGATTAGAAAATTTTGAATTCATATATTTACTAAATAAACAACTATGAAAAAATCTATATATCACCAGAACCCCTTACCCTGTGGGCCATAAAATTCACATTTTGGAGAGGCACTCTTTTCATCATATTCATAAAACTATGCACTAAGTTAGTCTATTTAATACAAAGGAGCAGAAAAGAAGATATAATCTAAAGAATTCATGTATTTTCACTATATTCACACCCTCCATAAATTTTAATAACTTTTTAGCATACTGGGGAAAAATTCACAATTTTGGCAGTTTAATTTTATCATAACTATGCACATTAGTTGTTTATTTAATACCCAGGAGCAGAGAAGAAGATTTTCAAAGAAATAATGCATTTTCACTATATACGTTGAGTTTAGCAGCCCTTGGTTATTTCCCTTGCTCCCCCAGGGCCATGAATTTCACAATTTTGCCGTACAGGACTAATGATGCTGAATACAATCTCAAAAGTTTGAATGCTTGATGTCCAAGTAAAGGAAAAAGATTTTTAAAGATTGCACAATTTTAAAAGTTATGGTCCCTTGGCCCCAGGGGGGCAGGGATAAACCCATAAATTCACACATAGCCTTTGTAGTTTTCAGGTTTGTAATAGATGCTTTGTAAAAAATTCTGCCTTTTGAAATTGGTTGCCCCAAGATGTGGTACCCAAACATTGAAAGAAACAAAATGAACACAATGTTAACGCACGACGGACGACGCACAACAACGGATAGCAATAGGTCACCTGAGTTTACTCAGGTGACCTAAAAAAAAACATTAAATGTGGAAATTTCAATGTGGGGTTTGAGAATTTTATGAGAAGTAAAATTTGGAAAAATCATCACCTCACAAACTGCTTCATTTAAGGTACCATATTAAACAATCATTAAATATTTTTAATTTTATCACTTTTGTAAAATAATCCCTGGCCATATAAATGCTATGTTCTGAAGAAAAGGCAAAACTTTACCATGTAAAAAATAAAAACTTTTTCAATGATATAAAAAAAATTTACACCACTTTCCTCCTCAAAAACTTACTTGCAGATTTCTTAATTGTGTTGTTCTTGATGAGATTTTGTTAAATGGTTCTGACACTTTAGAATGGATTCTGAAACAAAAAAATTCATTACATGTATTAGAGAACTTGTTTTAAAATGTGATGAAGTTACAGAAAAATATGCCAGTGAATAAAATTCATTTCATTGAGAACTACTGATTCACAGGATTCTAACACTGATCCTGATGTGTCAGAAAATTAAACTTGATATGAATAGGGTAATGGGAAGGCCCCACTCTGCAATTACTATAATTAACTTGAATGCTTTTAATTGCATCTTGGTTGCCCCAAATTACTAAGTCAGAACAGATGCAAAAAGTTTGGATATGTAAAGTGAGTTGGTCAACATGCATCCAACCCATTTCTTCTTTAAATATATAGTTTAACCTCAATATCTCAAATTTTCTGATATCTCATTGTTTTATCATAATTAAATCAGTCCCCATTCAGTTCAAAGTATCAAGGTTTGACTGTATATGAATATGACATATACCGATCCATTGCTGCCAGCAGGGACTGAATCCTAGACTGCATCATCTGAAGAACACCTTCCAACGTCTCCACACCTGTAGCTTGTGATAGCAGGTCCTCATGGTGTGCAACAATCTGTAATAAATGCACATAAAAAATAGAGTCATAGTTTGAAAGTGGTAGTAAACATAAATAGTATAGGTGTTACACAGAGAAGAACACGCAATAAATTTTATATGTGCTTGTACACAAAGTTTGCCACGAATTATAATAATTTCGGTGGATTTGGCTCGGCTAAATATTTGAACTGACGGCTTCATCGCTGAAGGTGCCTGTCCAAATAACATGCAGAGCCGAATCTCCACCAACACTGAGATTAATCTGCACTTAAGCTGCACCTGAAAATTTGCATATTGTAGACACAGAACAATACTGCATAATATGTGAGTTTGATCCAATGATTAACCCCTTTTTAATGAAAAAAGAACAAGACTTACCTGAGAATGAATTTCTCTGTCAAGCAGAGAGATGCCCTCAGCTAGTTTTGATAACTGCTCAGATATGGCCTTCCCTTGAATCGCCTGATTTGCATGAGCTTTCACATCAAACGTTTCATCTAAAAATTTTCTGAACTCCTCTACAAATAAAGATGGAGTCTAGAGAATACAAAATTTACTGTTTGCAACATGATCACTGAGGTTTAAACAAAATTTTACATAAATAACCGTTTTGTCTCTTCAGAAAACTAGATAGTTTACAATTGTGAGCAATTAATCTATTAAAGTCAAAATGTAAAACAGTTGCAACTAAGATACTTTATGAAATAAAACATAATTACCATCGCTGGCTAGTTGTTCTATGACATGGTGACGGTCCTCCATATTGACAAGTATCACTTCCGGTTTTCTAACTTTTTAGTTTCGTATCTATCCTAGGCGGAATGTTTGTTTTTAACACCAATAAGGAATATTCCTTGAAAAAAAAAATTTAAATGAGGTTGAATTCATTATGATTTTGGTCTAAAAATCCTGTAAGATGATTTTTTTTGTAAAAAAAAAAAATTCAAGAGCCTACTTTTACTTTCACTTTGACTTCAAGACTTGCACTGTGCACATGTTTTATGCTGTTCATTTTTTAGGAGATTTTGCTGAATATGGACGCATTACAAAATCTGATCATGTAAAATATAAGAAGAAAATAATATAATGACATTGTTTTAATAGATTCAACATAATCAGCCAATGATTTAACCTCAAGTTTTGAAGAAGATGAATGGACCTACTGATCATGGATTTTCTTGGACTAAACCAATGAATCTCTTCTCAGAAAAGACGATGGTTAAGATATGTGCTCCAATGGTCAGATATTCAAAGTTAGTGCAATTGTTTTTTTTTTTGTTTTTTTTTTTGTTTGTTTGTTTGTTTTTTTTTTTTTGATATTGTGAATGCAATGTGCGCTGTGCTTTGAATGAATAACAGAGAACACAAGCAAATTCAAGGAATTGTGGTCCCCCGCTTTCAGTGCCATTGTGGGTGAGATGTCATTTTTTATGACGTATTTTGTGTAATATGAACACCCTATCATATGTCATTTATTTAGAAATCATCACTGAACCCAAGGTCAAGGTCAAAGGGTTAAAGTTCTTGGTATCCAATGTAAAGTCTTTTCATAAGGATTACATATTTGAAGTATGAAAGCCCTAGCCCTTACCATTTTAAAAGTTATAGTCAAGGTTTAAGTTTTTTATTAGTACTAAAAATGTCCAAGGTCAAGGTCAAAAGGTCAAGGTTAATGGTATCAAATGAAAGGTCTTGCCAAAAAGAATGCATATGTGAAATATGAAAGTCCAAGTACCTACTGTTCCAAAGTTGTGGCCAAGGTCAAAGTTTTTGAAAAGTAGGTCAGACTCCAAGGTCAAGGCCAAAGGATCAGAGTTCTTGGTATTTGATGAAAGGTCTTTTCACAAGGATTACATATTTGAAGTACGAAAGCCCTAGCCCCTACCATTCCAAAGTTTTGGTCAAGGTTAAAGTTTTTTCATAAGTACATAAATCTCCAAGGTCAAGGTCAAAAGTCAAAATTGTTATCCAATCAAAGGTCTTGCCACAAAGAATACATATGTGAAATATGAAAGTCCTATAGTATCCACCGTTCAAAAGTTGTAACCAAGGTTATAGTTTTTAAAAAGAAGGTCAAACTCCAAGGTCAAGGTCAAAGGATCAAATTTCTTGGTATCTAATGAAAGTTCTTTTCTAAAGGATTACATACATGAAGTATGAAATTCTTAACCCTTACCATATAAAAGTTTTGGTCAAAGTTAAAGTTTTTTCATAAGTACATAAATCTCCAAGGTCAAAAGGTCAAGGTTGTTGGTATCCAATGAAAGGTCTTGCTACAAACAATAAATTTGTGAAATATAAAAGTCCTAGTACCTACCATTCAAAAGTTATGGCCAAAGTAAAAGTTTGGAATTTTTGTGTAAAAGTGGGTCAAACTCCAAGGTCAAGGTGAAAATGTCAAATTTGGTGGTACCCAAAGAAAGGTCTTGTCACAAGGAATACACATGTGAAATATGAAAGTCATGGCTCCACTAAATCAAAAGTTATGGGCAAGGTTAAAGTTTTTGTGACAGACGGACAGACTGACGGACAGACAGATGGAGAGAGGGACAGACGGACAGACGAATGAGATTTAATGTCCCCTCGCTTTCGCGAAAGCGGGGGACAATAAGAGGCTATACATGTAATGAGTAAAATTTGATTTTGAACAAGTCCCATGACATATCATTGAAATAATTTCAACAGTTGCAAAACTTTGAATGAAAAACTAAGTAATATAATAATATTTGAAGTATTTAGTGATCTGTCATTTAAAAAATGCCATGTATCTTGATGCCCGAAACCAATAACACTGATTTCACAGGTTGTGAAAGTCAGTCAATACAGTAAAACTCGGTTATAAAGAAGTCAATAGGACCTATGAAATTACTTTGCTATACCCATATTTTGTTATATCCATATAAGGAATTTGTTAAATTTGGATATTAGATAACTTCGCTATATCTGTGTATTCCCACTATCTGTGTTTGTACTAACCAAGTTTTACTGTATGTGGAGTCTCAATAGCTCAGTGGTTAGAGCGATGACATTGTACGCCAGAGGCTCGGGGTTTGAATCCTGATTGAAGCTTGATTTTTCACCACCTGTGATGCCAATGTCTGTGCAAAATCACAAATAATGCCATACATTTATTTTCATATCTTATATCTTTTAGTTTTTGTGCAATTTTAAATAATGTTATCTTTCATTTGTTTGTTGTCATTGTAGGTTACCGTTTAGGACTTTGGTGAGAAAGTATGACTGTGATCTGGCATTCACACCAATGATCATCTCCAATTCATTCGTTCACTCAGTGAAAGCAAGGGACAGTGAATTCACAACATGTGCTAGTAATTCTACTTTTAGAGAAATAGTTGACAATTTTGCTTTGAATTGATGATTGTGTTTTGTAAGATTTTTTTCAATAGATAATATGCTAAGTTTCAAGTTTCTTTATGAATATGCCATATGCAATAATCAAAATGCAAATCTGTCAAAAGAAATAAAAGGAAAAGGATTCTCAGGGGAAAAAAATCTGCATAATTGAAATGTGATAATCACAGAGCAAAAAGCAATACATGTATAATTGAATATTTCAGCTGATCGACCATTGATTGTACAGTTTGCTGCAAGCAACAGTAAAGATTTGGCAGATGCTGCTGAAATTGTTGCTCCGTAAGTCACTATAATTCTATGATGTTTAATTTTGTATAATTTTCCAATGTTGTATGTCAGAAAGACTTTTTTTATCTAATAACATCCATTCAAACATTGAGAATGATAAGCCTATATGATAATCTCCACCACAAAAATTATTAATTTTTCATTTATTTTTTGTTTTATATATTTAGATATTCAGATGGTGTGGATTTGAATTGTGGATGCCCTCAGAGGTAAACATTCATTATAAGTTCAGTGGGACCTGATAAATATAGGATCTCCGACCCATGATTTGTAGTTGGATTTGATTTTTATCCAACGAGTTTTGTGTTTTTTAGGGAATAAAAACACACAACAAGTTGGATAAAAATCATATCCAACTATAAATCATGGGAGATCCTATATTTATCAGGTCATACTGAACTTACTGATAGGAATTCACTCTATTTTATTTCATTATGCTAACTCAAACCCATTGTGACGTCACAACTGTGGGATAGGAAAACGATATCGCATGAGCTACTGTAAACCAATTTGCAATGACTTTATTTACCAGGGGTAAACTACCAGGATTTACTAAGGGTAAACTACTTCATGACGATTAATTTTTGGGATCATGTTTGCTTCTGAATATATATGTAATTTGTCGTTTCTGTAAATTTTTTGGGATCAGGTCTTTTTGGATCTGTTGTGAAATAGATACAGAGGCTTTAAGGACCGGTTTGCGGAGAGAAATATTTTGCAATGACGATGCTCTCGCGAACTCTGCAAATATATCTCGCACATGAATAAAAGTTGGTTTACAGTATATCCACAGGATAAAGAGGTAAACATGGGATAAAATTTTGTTTTAGTCAAGGGCTGTGGATGGGCCCATAATAGGATACATGTATAACAATTATCTTTTTAAAACTTTCTTGAGATTCAAATAGAATTATTAATTTGCAAATAATCCCAAGCTGTGTGGATTCAGCTTTCTTTTCAAATTAAGTATCTGGATAAATTTTCACAGTGCTAATGTTTCCATGAAAAAATATTCTATAACAACATGGTCACTTTGATAAATTGAGTTGAAATTAAAACACTCTGATGATGTATGAATTCATTATAAACCCATCAGAGTAAAAGTTAAGGTGGTGCCAAGATATTTTTTCATTGTAACAAGACTTTCAAAGTCTGAGTAACCATAAGCAGGGTTATAAGGGCTACTCAGGTGAGCAATGTGACCCATGAGCATCTCATTGAATTAAACAAAATTTTACACATTAGTTTAACATATGTATTTGATTAAAATTCCAAAATGTTTTTCTTAATGAATTTTATTGAAGATTAATTTATATGTACAAAATAATCACAAACACAAATATAACTGTAACCTGAACAAGGCCCCCCACACTGGCAAACACCCTTTTATTGTCATATCCCCTTCTTAAAAGTCCATTACATCTATCTATGTTCTAAATCCCACCCTGTTTGGTTGAAAACCAAGGGAGTGATAGCTATTTAAAGTTTCAGCCAACAGATTGCAGCACACGTACTTGCACGTGTATGCATGTGCATGGTGACCAAACCTTCTTGTAGATGTCCATTATATATATATATCTAATGTATATTCCAAATCTCAACCTGTTTGGTTGAAAACCAAGGGAGTTATAGCTGTTTAAAGTTTCAGCCAATCAGATTGCAGTAGTCGTATGCATGTGCATGGTGACCATACCTTCTTGTAGAAGTCCATCATATATATCTATGTTCCAAATTCCATCCTCTTTGGTTGAAAACTAAGGGAGTTATAGCTATTTAAAATTTCAGCCAATCAGATTGAAGCGCACGTGCATGCACGTGTTTTCATGATAATTGCTATATATCATGTTCTAGGATATTCTAATGCATGGCTATGTTCAAAATTTCAAAGGATTTTGTCAAAAAACAAGAAAGATATTGAAACATAAGCATGGTTATAAGGGCTAGCGCAAGTGCAGGTGAGCATATTGACCACGTCATCTTGTTTATACTACTAATATATCCTTACATTATGAGTTTCAAAACATTTCATCAAAAGATAGAAAAGTTTAAAATATTTGTCATTTCACGTGTCGCACGTGCACGCTCTTGCAAGCACGTGCGCGCAAAATGTTTACATAACATGCCTACTAACCCTAAAAAGGTTTCACCTAAGTCGGATTATTTACAAGATCACTCGTGGACAAAATTTTCCCAGGAATAATAATAATAATAGTAAGAAACAGAGTAAAAACAATATGTTCCCCAACTTCGTTTGGGGAACATAATTAACAGCATTTTTTTTTGTTAGATGGGCTATAGCAGAAGGCTATGGAGCGTGCTTGATAAAGAAACCAGAGTTGGTGCGAGACATGGTGAATCAAACTCGATCACGAGTGTGTAACTCAGACTTCACAGTCTCCATCAAAATCAGGATACACAATGATCTCAGGTAATTGTCTACTCGAAAGAGTTATCTCTCTATCAATGCTAGATTTGTTGAAAGATGTTCACTTTCTATATCTGATATTATTCTGGAGAGGGCTCCTCCCCCCCCCCCCCCTTTGACAAAATAAGGGAGAGGGCTACATTTTTGTAGCTATCAGGCACTCTGGTCATACTTGATTTGTTTGAAATTTCTGATGTGTTGATTAGTAATTTGATCTTATTCATGTACAGGTAAATAGTAGGGAGTTTTAATCTAAACTACTAATGAACTTTAACGATGGCTATATAAAAGATATTTTTTTCTGGTCAGGGAAACTGTTGACCTTTGTCAAAAGGCAGAACACGCTGGTGTATCTTGGATATCAGTCCATGGTCGAACGAAGGACCAGCGGGCCGAACCAGTAAACAAAGAAGCAATAAAGCTCATCAAAGACAGTGTTAATATTCCGGTGATAGCCAATGGTGACATTAGAAGTCTGCAAGATGCAGAAGAAATACAGGGTGTAACAAAAGTGGATGGGGTCATGGCAGCAAGAGGTATTCTTCAAAATCCGGCCATGTATGCTGGTTTTGAGAATACACCTCTACAGTGTGTCCAAGATTGGGTAAGAACTCCCTTCAGCTACTGTACTTAGAATGATATGTAAATACGTAACTATATTTATTGTGATAATATACAGCTGAACTTTGCAACACTGATATCTTGTATACCATGGATCATGATATGTCTTAGTGATTTGGAACTCCCATGCAGCTACGTATTCTTACAGTATTTTACCCTCAATTTCTTAAATCCTCAGAGGACTCAAAAAAATTTTCCTCATTCCCATCAAGTTTGAGAAAATGAGGTATGACTGTGTACCCAAAATATCAACTTCAGAATTTCAAGTACTCTTTACTGACTTTATTCTGTCAAAAACTATAGGTATAAATTGCAGTGTACTGAAGAAAGGGTTCCTCAAGTTATAAACTCAACTCATCTTTACCACTAATTTTCAGATTGACATTGCCCTGTACTCTGGGGTGACGTACCCAATTTTCCACCAGCACCTGATCTACATGATGGAGAAGCTGTTCTGTAGAGCAGAGAGGAGGGTGTTTAATGTGCTAGCAAGTACTTCTGCAGTGCTGGACTATCTAGAAACTCATTACAATATATCAAATAAATCTTAGCATAAATTACCGATATATTTTGTAGTTTTCTTCATTCTGTTAACAATATTATCATGTGCACAATGGAGCCTGACAGTATTTTTTTCCCAAATATAACGTCTTGTATACACAATCCGTCATTGAAAGAACTTATTTTGTCCACATTTTCAAATTTCTTGATCAATGTATGAGGCAAACAGCAGATGTGACCAGTCAACAGGGGATGTTTTCTCTACATGTATATAACACTATTCTTTGACATAGTTACATGTATTTACATGATGTATGCATTCTTTGATGCTTTGACTGAACTTAGTCATTTTTTTCTATTCAACCATCATTTTCAATCGGGTGTTACAATCTTTATCCAATCATAACATTTCCACAATTTCAACATTTTCAATCTGTGGGAATATTTTTCAGCAAGATGGATGAATTTTTTCCAGCCTTTTTTTCTGTTGTCCTACTGCATTATTAATCTCATTAGCACAGTCCAAATACAGGGAACAGGAACAGGAAAAAAATGTCCCTAAGGCCATTTCTTGAATAATGTTTGCTTGTCCTCTCCTGACTCAGTGTAAAAAATGATATGTTGGTAGGTTGAAAATCAATTTTTAAACTAACATGAATAATTATTAGGAATGAGAAAATTCAGGATTAAAAAGAAAAGAAATTGTTTCCTGAACATTTAAAAAGTTTTGAGTCAAGCCATTTTTAGCCAGTCAATCAAAAGAGGACCAACAAACATATTTTTAAAGATGACCTAATTTTCCAGGTGGAAAAGGTCAAAAGACAAGAAACACAGTTTGTCATTTCTGGCACGCTTTACTGCAAAAAAGCTTTACCTTGCATTGTTCAACTTTCTTAAAAATATAACATTGCAACAAAACTTAAAAAACCAGACAGCAAAAAAAGTGGCATTAATTAAACATCAAATTACCTGAAATTTGTCAAGCATTGAAACAGTTTGGTTGACAATACCCTATATGAATGAAGTTGAAGTCATAATAAACTAGTGCAGTACAACGATAGTATCACAGTATTATTATGTAATTGGATTTATAGTTACATTGCACACAAAAGTACAAAAACAAGCCACTTCTTGACGTCCTTCACAAAATATAAAGGACTAAAAAGTTACCGAAATAAACATTATTTTCTTTGTTCATTTCACATCTAATATTTGAAATCATTAGAATAAATACAAGATTGTTCTTTGAAAGTAACTGTAAAGTACATTGATGATTTTTGTTTTTAGTTTGTTTTTAGCTATTTAAAAATAGGTTAAAAATTGTTGAATTTGTAAACATCCAATTTATCAAAAGCTGGAAATGCACCATATTTCTAAGAACCCTTTCCATTTGAATAATTCCCTTGTTAGAACTTACAATTAAAATTAAACAATTAAAACACTTTGTCCACTCTCTTGGAGGTTTTAATCACAACATGCAGTTAACATCAAAACTTTAAATAAACTGAGGTCATAGGACTTAAATTTTCTACCATTTCTCTATGTACAGTGCCAAAAAACTTCAACTATATGCGATCAAAGAATGTGAATGCCAATAATACTCTTCTGTGCAGAGAGAAAGGTTTTTAGTGTTGATACTGAAAAAAAACTGTCCCTTTATACATGTATCTGTCAAATGTTTCAAATGCTACATTAAAAGCTTGCTTAAACTTACACATTTTTTCCCACTTGCCATAAAAGCTTTTTGTTGACTGTGTTTCTGTGCTATCCCAAATTTATACAGTATAAAACTGGTCTAAAACTACATCCACTTTTCTTGCAATTCTCTTTATACTTGCAAACTTAGTGGTCATTTCTTTGTTTTTTTTCCCATATTCCTTGACATGATGTGTATTATAATGCACACAGTCTTGACACAATTTACAGCTTACAAGTGATTTTATTTTAACAATTTTTTAAAAGTAAAACAATTTTTGAAGCCAAAAATGTAACATGCCATGAGAACAATTAATTTTTGTTCCAATGCTTAAGAAACATGAAATGACACAAATGGAAAATACAGATATTTTACAATATTCTTATGGCTACTTTTCTGTAATTTTTTTTCTATCATGAACAAGTGCATGTATATTAATCACTGAAAATATAAATTGATCAATCCCTTGCTATACTTTAAACTGTTTTCATAAATTTATGGCAATTCCTTTTTTTTTTTTTTTTTTCAAATGTAGCCATCAATAAAAAAACAATGACAACACTACAAGCCGTCATAATTTACTATTTCAAACAGATGATTATGTGTGAAAATTATCCTTATTCAAATCTCAAAAAACTCCTATTTTTACCCTCAACACCAGTGCAACTTCTGTGTTTTTATATACAACTATGCCAAGTTGGTGCAAGTTAAAAGTAAAACCAATTACATGTACGGACATTTTCATTCTAAGAATGATCAAACCAAAAGCCTTTGCAATGTTTTTCTTTTTTTTTTTTGTTTGTTTGTCTTTTGTACAAGCTAAAACACAAGATTTTCCACAAGGTAACTTATTAAAAACAGACAATAATGCAAAATACAAGTGTATTTCTTCAACTGAAAATAGTAAGTCAATGTTCTTGACATCATTTTTAGTAATGTGATTGCATGGCAACCAGTTAAGACAATAACAATGCTCGCTCTGATCTTTTTCATACAATACTGCTATGGAAGTTGCACCTTTAGTGTTTTCTATTAGAAAAAGTACAGCATTCACAGCTCTTCTTTGTAATGGACATAAATTACATGTACATTGTACCATCAAAAACATTCTTATAAAGGATATTTTTAAAGGCTCTGTAGCACTTATGGATGTACAACTGTACAATTTAAAAAAGACATACATACAGGGTTCTTACTGTATTTGAATATGATAAATTAAAATTATTTTTATACATATTTATGTCAGATAACTTATATAAACTTTCAATAACTGTTATTCAGTCATTCCTTGCACACAGATTGAGAATACACATAAAGTCTTGCACAAAAACACACATTTTCATGAAAAATATCAACCCATTCACCCATGACCTGAAAAAAAGGTTCATTTTGTTCCCGTATCACCAGGGTAAACTCTGTCTACAGACATAGCAATGATAAATGTAATGGGGGTATCTCATCCTCTTTTAAAATTCCCCTCCTTAATGAAGTACATACAGTAGTATTACTCATAAACCATGAAACTTCAATATTGTATCGATTAATTAATAATGGAACAATATTATGAAAGACAATTGGCGAAAAGTTGTTCAAGGTTGTGGTGGAGATGAGGACGAAGAGTTGACCGATGGATTCGTGGACACAGGGCTGGAATCCGCGGCCGGCATTTGTGCCGTCGTTAGTGGGAGGGTCATCCCAGACTGAGTCACCAAACTGCTCTGACTGCTAGGAGGCATCATACCGTGTGCAGTTGTTAATGGGAGAGTCATCCCAGACTGAGTCACCAAACTGTTTTGACTGCTAGGCGGCATCATACCATGAGGAATGAACTGGGGGTAGGAGAAATATCCATGGCCTGTAAAGCTCGGCTGTGCATAGGGTGAAGTTGGGTTGGTGTAGGGAAAGCTATAGGAGTAAGGAGGATTGGAGAAAAGGGGTGGCTGATTTGTCATAATGTTTAAGGGCTGTTCTGTGGAAGCAGAATGCTGCAACAGGTTCATCTGTTGTCTGTTCTGCTCAGTCTCTGGAGAAAACGAGAAATCGGCACTTGATTTCCTACTACTTTGGTTGGAGCTTTGCTTCATTGAGTCTACCGTATCACAGTCGGCTTTGACATTTTTATCTAAAGTCACACTATCGGACATCACAGTCGTATCTCTATCTGTTTTCCTCTCACTCTGACTCGAATCCCTCTGCGAAAATTCACTTGTGTCCGAAACCGAGTCAGAATTCTTCGTTTCTCGAGATCGCCTTACGGAGGAAACATCACCCTCCTTTGACAGATCACTTAATTTGGACGCATCTCCTGAATTGGAACGTTTGTGTTGTTTTGTAAGGCTTGGCATGAGTTTTCCAGAGATGTGTAAATTCCCCAACTGTTGCAGAGAAGAGGTGAGAGACTGCATCTGCGGACTCATCATGTTGGGTGGACCTGGGCCTCTCATCTGGAGTGGGGGAGGGGGAGCAGGGGGAGGGATAGGAACAGGCAGGCCTTTCTTCTTCATGAACTTCTGGATCTCTCTCTGTTGCTTCAGGTTCAATGACTTTCGTTCCTGCTCATGTCTGAAATTGCAAATTTAAATTTCTATTCAATCTGTTAAGGTTTGAACAAAAATGTTACAGAATGGCTAAATTTACCCCCATTTTTTAAAACCTATTCAAATGTAAACTAACTGTTTAACTATAAACCAATCTTTCTGAAAATATACAAATGCATTTATTATTTCCTTTGTTTTCAGCGGAAAAGCCTCTAAACAATAACCCCTATGAAAATCTTAATCAAGTTCTTGGAAAAATATTCACCTCATCAGAATCTCCTGATATTCTGGGTCATCCTGCCACCAGACGGGGGTTTTGGACTCTGCCCCCCTGTCCTTTGTCTCCTCCTGGAACTCCTCCTCAGGGAGAGGCTCTAGAGGTCCCTCCTCCTCCTCCTCATCCAGCTCTCTCACTGTCAGAACCTCCGTGTCCCCCTCAGACGATTCATCATCTGACCTCGAGGGTGTCTTTGGAGAAAGCTAAAACAGAGATTAAAATTCATGTTACAAAAATACAATTTGTTTTACAGCTTGCTTTTATTAGGATAACGTTTCTCTATCGCTTTAGCGTGATCAAGAGATCAAGATCTATCAAACTTCCAAATCCAGAAAAGAAATTATATAAGGATGGGGTAGAGATCCTAAACCAATTTTGTCTTTTTTTTCCCCATATGAAACTTCTTGAAAAATTTCAGGAGCATAATGTCACAAATTATACTGGATAAATATAAAATTATCCCCTTTTCAAAGTATACAAGGTCATATTATAATTTATAGTACTGAATAACATGCAGCTGCGAGATACATGAATATACATAATAGTGCCAAATCAGTGCTCCTTTTAGAATATAATTACATTCATGATTTGTTAGCTGGGATTATAAAACCTTTTTTTCCAATTACCTTTTTACAAAATCTGGGGACCCGGGACTTCCAGAAATCAACAACCATCAAGGCTGGAGAGGTTTGAATACCAGTTTCTACTGCCCTACGCTCATCATCACCCGACCCCTCCTCAGAAGAAAACTCTACCCTTGTTTCAGGCACATGTACATGCAAGCCATGGGCCTTTTTGTTAGCAAGGTAAGAACCACCACCTTTGAAATGCCCATCACATTGATCACTTGATAAATCATAGCTCCCCGTGGACCTTAACCTACGTCTATGGGGCAATGCGAATTGTAATGTATGTTCTGGGTTAAAATGAAAATTAGGGTGATCATGAAAGTTACTGAATCTTCCCAGACCAGAGTTTGTCAAAGGTGATGGCTCCAGAACCTTAGGATAGGGAGATAGCTTTGTGAGCGATTTACTTACAGTGTTGCTAGCAAGCTGGGAGGATACACATTCTGGATTAGCAGCCCTAGCCCCTTCACCCAATACATTCTCTTTCTCAATGCTTTCAGGCCTTACAGCCACATTTTCTGTTGTGGCTTGAACTTTTGTCACTTGGAAACGACCTTTCTTGGTCGTCTCATGTTTTTGTTCTTTATCATCCGACACTTTGTCCATCATATATTGCATCGCCTCTTTCACATCTTCAGAAACCTCAGTCAAAGTTTCTTCATTTTCACCTGCCGTTGAAGCACATTCATCAGACACAGATCTATTTATTAATGGATCGTCCTTAACAGCACTTACTAAAAATCTCTTCTTTGAACCACCCTCTTGTGAAACATCTGAAGGAACTTTCTTTACATCTCCTTGTTTGAGACTTTCAAGGGAAGCACTTGGAGTAACCACCCCTGATTCGTATCCACTTTGACCTATGTTTTGTGCATTTTGACTGTCACTTCCAGAGGGACCGACGTCAGCCCCTCCCACATTTTTCTCCCTCCTTAAGCCAGCTGTACGTAGCTTCATGAGTTCCTGATCCAGTTTCTGAAGATTTGTGACATCTGACTTCTTTGATCCACCAGCCTGCTGGTCAGAAATATTGGCCATCTTACCCTGACTATCTGTGTCCCGTCTCCTAGATAAAGTAGGAGATGGGGGATGGGAGGATCCAGAAGGCACGGACTGGTCTGCCATCATGGAGGAAGGAATCTGCTGGTGTTGTTGTGTCTGAGTTGTTGCCCCTGTGACTGTGTGATAAAACGGTCCAGGAAACATCCAGTTAGGATTAGGCTGCATAAACATTTGTGGATGTTGAGGATGCTGTGGTGCCTGATGCGGTTGTTGTGAATGAGCCTGCTGGAGGAAAGACATGTACCATATATAGTTATTGTAATACTGCATCTGTAACTGATACATGGGATCCATTGGAGGCATAGGGGGAATCATCATGGGCATTTTGGCATACACTGGTGCCGGAACTGGCTGTTGCTGTCCAGGAATGTTCTGGGCATGACTTATAGGCACTCCTGACAGATTGGCTGGGAGAGACTGGCTTGAGTTAAGTCCATGCTCCATATACTGACTACTGGACAGAGGGTCCACTTGTGGAGGAGCAACCTGGTGTTGAGAAACTGGTGGCACCGTCTCTTCTTGTTGTGGTTGTTGAGGCTGTGGCTGAGCCATTGGTGGCACTTGTTGCTGAATGCGCTGACCTTGCTGTTGTTGCACAGTCTGTTGCACTTGAGGTTGTTGATGCTGTACAGGTTGTGGCAGTGGCTGCTGCCCTGCCTGTTGATGTTGAGCAAGCTGTTGGCCAGATGGTTGTTGGTGTTGTTGCACTGGTTGCTGAATTTGTTGCACAGGTTGTTGTTGTTGTAGCAAGGTCTGTTGCTGCTGTTGTGGCTTTGACTGTGGCTGTTGTTGCACTGGTTGTTGTTGCTGTTGCTGGGGTACCATTTGTGTTTGAGAGGTCTGACTTGTCTGCGGAGGTGCAATCTGAGATGTTTTCTGCTGAACAGGCTGCTGTGGCTGTCCATGTAAGCTTTCCATACTAGCATGTCTCTGATGAATAACCTCTACAGGAGCAGACGGATCATCCACAATTTGAGAAGGTTGATTTTCCGAAATTGGCGTGACACTTGGAACACTCGGAGATGATCCTTTTTCTTGTGAGACATCAGTTTGTGCTTGTTGCTGAGAAGAATGGGTGAGCTGGTGAAGTTGCTCCTGCAGAGATAACAAATCCACTGGAACGTTACCTCTTCTTGAAATAGATTTATCAGAGTCCGTGCCAGTTCCTGTATCACTATCAACCACACCTCCAGGGTGCTGGGTTGTTTGACTTGACGACGGTAGAGAACTGTGCGTGTTTTCAGGGGAAATATAATTATCAGAAACATTAGTCTGCTCCTCATTATCATCCTCTGATATTTTGGTTTCCAGGATCCTGGGTTCCAAGACTTTGCTGACAATGAAGCTCCTCTTTTTGCTTTCAATGACTCGAGATTCTGACTTTTTCTCTCTCATGTGAACTCCATCCACTCCATCCAGCAGTAGATCACGGACTCCCATGTCATTTCTACTGTCATCAGACGCTTGTCCACTGTCTCCATCCGTGTCAAAGTGCAGCCTCTGAAATAAGGGAAAAAAATGATAAACCTTTTTCTGACTTAAAATTCAATCTGATTCCATGCAGTGCAAACACCAGCTTTCAAATAATATACGGTGTAGAGCAAATAGTCAGCATATGAAATCTCAAATACTGCTATACAGCTTTTTTTTTGGTTGTAAAATGTTACAAAAAATATGCAAGAAATTTAAAAGCAATGCTTCAAATGATTTCATTCTCCTTTTTGTGCTTTGAGATCACAAAGTATGACTATACCAAATATCTTAAATTATAAGCAACTGTGATCCTAAAAGAAGGGAAAAAGAAAAATACTTACTTTAAAGGAAACTAAATTCCAATTTTAATATCAAAAGACTTTAAACAATAGGGTGAACTATGATATAAATACTGGTGTAGTTATACCGTGTACAATAAGTTAGTTACATTTAGTATCTAGCCTACAATGTAGATCTGTCAAATATATAAAGGGTTTTTCTGATACATATATAAGACACCACATTGGACAAGATTTTTCTTTTAACCCTTCACCAACACAAAGACACACTGACATGCAAGGGAAGATTGCTGTACTTAAAAAAGAAAGTTCAAGATGGAAGAACATCAAACCTTGTGAGTATGTCGTTTTCCTTTATGCCCTCGCTTATTTGCCTATATTGACAGTTAAAAGAGAATTCAGAAGACAATAACAACACTGAATTAAGGCGGAGAGAATGAATTGTAGTGACCAAAGAATCCAGAGAAATTCTTTTAAACTAAATCATGCCAACAACAGAACTTCAGAAATTCAACTTTTAAAATACAACGTAAACCGACTACTGATAGACATGTAATTACCTTGGCGGCCTCAGCATCTAGTGCTGCTGGACGTATCTTTCTGACGGTACAGGGACTGGAGGTGGGTGTGTTTGTGTTACAGCTGAGGATGTAGGATACAGCGGTCTCAGGGTTCTCCTTCACCATATGATCCACCTCCACTAGTAACTGAATCACCATGCCTGACTGGGCTTCTGGAAGTAAGTCCTCCTGTACCTAAAATAGCCAAATAAATCACAATTATATTGCTGTTGTCATGATGCAAAGAAAACATTAAATATTTTTGATTATATGCATTACAGCTTTTCAGTGCAATGATTTTCTGTTACTTAATGTAAGATCATGAACTGGAAACAGACTTTGGTCAAAATTTCAAATAAATGTTACTTTTTAAATAATTCTGAAAATCCAAAACAAATTAACTGCATTTAACTAAAAAAGTAAAATAAAATTTTCTAACAGATATTGAAATAAAACTCAAGATTTTAAGAGTCATAATTTTGATGCAAGTCTGTTCTCAGTTTATGGTGTTGAGCCTGGTCTTCATCGCTACCACATACCAAACTTTCTGCTATTTCTTGTGGTTTATCATTCTCAAGTGAGAACTTGAATGTAATGTTGTTTTTATTGGAGATTTCCAGTCGACATTCCACCTCTCCATCCTCTTTCTCATAACTTAGGATAGTTAGACGCGGGTTCTTCTCCAAAGTCTTTCGCCTTTTGACCCTTACTTTCCTTTTCCTCTCTTCAGTTTTGGCCGCAACAGATTCATTTTCACTTTGTAAAATGAAACCAAAGATTTTTTTAAAAATGTTCATATCAAAAATACTGTATTTTGTATTATTTCCATCTACCTTGAAGAGACTATGATCTATGTTAAATCTGCGAGTAATAACCTTCCATTTTTATGTAGTTCAACATTTACAACAAAAATAGCAAAAAATTAATATCCCCCATTCTACAATGGCATGAACATAAAAAAAATAAACAAACTGCTGTTAACAATAAATGGAAAATGTTTATCCTAGCTCTGCACACTTTAAATAAACATGTTCACTTTTCTTCCCCTACCTTTCCCTGTTGCTGTGATCCTGTAACTCGGGTGGTATTGCACTGCTTAAAGACAGACTAGAACCTACATTGGTCTGGGAGGTACCGCTGGAGAGAGAAGAGCTGGCCTTAGGGGTGGTGGTACCTGGCTGCGGTTTCTGTTGACTCAGCTGGGCGGCTGAGATGTTCAGCTGCTCCAGACTTACACCCTGTTATGAAGCCAATTATTCCATTAGAGAATGCAAAAATTTTAACATAGTGCAATGATAATACCATAGAAATTTTTTTAACTAAATCATGCATTTTTGACAAACTCGCAATACATTTGAGAATAACACAAGATATAATTCACAAGTTTACTGCTGAAAAACATGCTTTTACATGCCCGAAAATGCACACACTTTTCCTGTATTATGTATTGTAATTTTTAAAAACAAGCATTCTTAAAAAATATTTCCTTGAAATCATTAGAGACAAGTTTGATGTCATAAAAAACAGACATTGCGAACAGAACCCAAGCAAAACATAAGTGTAAAGTGCAAAGCATGGGTATGTTTAACCTAAACAAAACAATATTTTTAAGGTTGCGTGCTAAAAAATAAGATTATGTAATAGTATTTTTCATAGATTCAAATATGCAGCAAGATACAATAATATGACAACTTGCCAAAAGTAATGAATTGAATTGTAATTTGATGTATTTAGAATTTAGAATTGAGATGAGCAATATCTCTCATGTCTTTACAGGTGAAAAGTATTAATCATGTACACTTTGGTACCAATACGTTTGCCCAATTCTCAATGAAAGTGCCATCTAAATCCAAATATGTAGCTCTACTAAGAACACTAGAGAAAAGTATCATAGTGAAAGATTATGAATAAATGAATAACAGAAAACTATGATCAAGAGCAACTAATGATAATAATTTGAATTTCAGAAGCTGAGTGAAAAAGAAGGATGTATATATTCCTTTTGAAAATGATGATCAGAGCTTGTTTATGTTACATTCTGGTACTACTAATTGCAGTATAAAATTGACTTAAGTATGAAAAACATCTGAAGGCCTCTAGAATTATTCCATCTGTAATGAGTTATTACAATTCACTCTATACTACACTGGAAATGACTTTAGTATATATACAAGTAATACATGTACTATACAACTTGCTTACATATAAGGCAGATTTCGTGCTAGCTTACTCCTAAATAAACAGTCAAGGTTAGCATAAAACACATCAGTTAAGAAGATGTGTGCTGTTCTATTATCTAGCTTCGAAAAAAAAAAAAACCATTTCCACAGGGTTAAGGGAGAACAACCAAACACATAGGTTATATCAAGTGAAAAACTGCTGTGCTAAAAGCCTGGGTTACATAAAGAGGTTCAGAAACCGTCAAAGGTTAATGGCACACCTGCTTGTGTAATCGAGTGGGGACACTTGCAACTTTCTTTAACATTGGGAAAGGAACGTCTTTCACCATGGTCACCTGATTAATAGATGATGTGGTGTACATTAAGTAGAAGTCCACAGTGTATTTGCCATCTAGTATATTTTTACATGTTAAACATTGTGAGGAAACAACATATTAAGACAGTATTACAGAATGAGGTATAGTGATGAAATGAACAAAATGATGAAACCAATGAACAGATCTTCAAAGCTGTTGCTTATAAACATACTGATACAGACACCTTTACGGTATCAGCATTTTTTTTCTCCCCAACATCATCTTATGCTTTCACTCTCTTTAAGCAAGAACAAAAAAAAAATGAATTATGCTTTCAATTCATACAAGTACCTGACTGAGTTGTTTTTGTTGACTAGCACTCTGTGTTATTCCTGGGCCTACACTTGATGTAGAACACACACTGTCAGATCTCTCCTTTTTGAACTACAAGGAAAATTAAAAATTTCTCATTTTCATGATACATATATCTCTTTACAGTAAATAAAAAAAAAAAAACATCTCGGTCCTTTTAAAAAAATTTTTATATCAATAGGAAGAAGATTTGCTTATCATTCCACAAGTTTGCACACCTTTCTTTCATTAAAGTCTTTAAAAATTAATATCTTTATGTTGCTACTTATACAAATATAAGATTATTTTTCTTCACATATTATTTATTTTATAAGATACAGTTCAACACAAACCTGATTTCCATCAAAAACACCCTCTAGTAACTCTTTGGAAATGCCTCCGGGTAATGGTGCTGAAATTATGAAATAAATATTGTATCTGAATTGCCTCCCTTTGCCTAGCTTCTTCAGCATTCAGCACAGGGTGTATGGTTAACCTAATTTCAATTTTCATACTGCCTGTGCCAATTACCTAGTTAAAGTTAACAGAGGACTAATTAGGGTATTCCTTTACCTTGTGTATCCTCCACATTGCCTGGGGGCTGAAGCTGTTGAGTGTTGGAGGGTTCAGGGGGTGGGGGCTGTACTTGAGATGGGGGTGGGGGTTGAGCTGACTGGACTTCACAACTCTGACCAGGTGATGTCTGCCCCTGCTGTTGCTAAAAGTATAAAGGTGTATAAAGTTATCAAATATTAACTGCTATTTGATTGGTAAAAGCTTTCAACCGACATAACACTTTCACCACACAAACTTGTTTTTCAGAGTCATGTTATTTAAATCAAGTATAGCTTATACATATACATGTATTTGTAACAAATACGTGTATATTCTGTCTGTACCAAAGAATATATTTATAATGTATTTTCTAATAAATATTCATAATTTTAACCCCACCTTATATAATCCCTTTTATTTTTAATTAGAAATCAATTTCTAATTGCAATAATTAACTTAAATCCAGTCTTCACGAAAACTCACTGGTCCGAAGACCGAGGCCAGTGAATTTTGAGGTCGGGTCAGTGAAAATCAAAATTCAAGAAGTCCGATGGGCTCGTTGATCATAAAAATCATACAGTCAAAATTTATTTCAACTGACTTACTTGTGTAAATTTCATTAATATATAAAATAAAACGAAGAAGCTCGTGTTGTTGAATCCTATTATTATAACCGTATTATAACATGGATGTATTACGTAACAACCGGAAGTAGCTAGTAATTATTAACTAGTACGTAAAATGTGCAAAGTTCCAACGAACAACTTACCGAAACGCGACAAAGGGCGAAAAATGGCGGCATTTCAAAAGTTGAAGTACGTAAACATGTATAAATTTACAGTTATGAAAATGTATTTATTTTCTTTTTTTATGAAAGGGACCAGTAAAAATTTTTGTGGGCTAGTATATTTTGAAAGTTCACTGGTCCGACTGGCCAGTTAGTTTGAAAAGTTTTCGTGAAGACTGTAAATCAAAACTAGGAATCACCTGAAAACTACCAACTTAAACCAAAACTGCACTGAATGTCAATAGACATGATACTGTTAGTAATGAGTGTAAGATAGGTGTACCTGTGGTTGTGGCTGACTAGATTGTTCCTGTACTTGCTGTGGTATAGAGGCTTGGCTGGTGGACGGTACCAGACTGGTCTCTGATGAACTGCCCTCGGCAGCTTTGGCTATCCTCAGGGCTATGATTGGCTGGATTCTGTCTTTAATCTGTCTTGTGACAGTCTTTACATCCTCCTCCAGCAAAAATCCTGACTTCACCTAAAGTTACACAGATTTTATTTTTAAAAAAATTCTCCATGATAAATTCCTTACCTCTCTTCAAACTTAATATTTAAGTTCTAAAAAATTCTTTAACAAAGCTTTACTTTCAGAAGAAAGCTATAGAGGTAAAGGAATTTCATAAACCATTCGGGTAATTTTCTTTACGAAACAGCTTGCTAAGGTCTGCTTGCCTTTGAGAGATATTTACCAGAAACTTCCAGAAATGAGAATTTTCAGAAAAGAATCATATTTTATCATTCAAATCTTGGCAACAAATTTATGTCAAAAACGTCCCTCATTACCATTTCTACAGCCACTTCCTCAGCTTGATCATTATCTAGGTCAAATTCAAACTGTATGGCCTCGTTTTCCTTGTGTTTGTCCCGGCGTTTCTTGGGGTCCACTACACGGAGGTGCATGGCTATGATGTTAGAAGTAGCCCCCTCCTCCTCTCTGTTAGCAACTTCCACTGTGAGACCAGTGTCCTCCGTAAAGAAATCCAACTGGAGTAATGTTTTAGCTGAAGGTCTGTAAAGATATAAGAATATGTTAGCTGAAGGCCTGTAAAGACATAATGTTTTAGCTGAAGGCCTGTAAAGATATTTTATCCGAACAAATCTTATTAAACACATCCAATAAGTAAAAAAAAAAACTCTCTGATGTTCAATATTTTTATCTGTGGTCAAAACATGGATAAATATATAATGAACTCTAAATGCATATAATGAACTACAGAGTTCCCGAAACTAGTCAAAAATATGTCGGACAATTGTCCTGTAAATATTCAAAATTCACCGGACAGTTGTAAAATTTACCGGACATTAATTTTTTGTATGTAAATTTAACATATTATAGGATTGGAAATTGTAACGATATAATAAATAATATGTGTAAATAAAAAGATGGCAAATGCAGATTTTTAAAAAAAAAAAATATTAAAATATTTTCTATAAGGCCTGTGTATGCAGGATTTGACGTCGCCGACGGAGTGTGATGACCAACGCTTAATTCATCGTATAAAATTATTATGTCCTTTCTGACAGATTTTTTTTATTTTTTTTAAAATAAAATCTGCAACATGACAACTCTTGGTTGATTGTTTGGAATTAGTGGGAAATATATGTTGTTTTCCAGGCTTTTTTCTTTTGGATTTTGGATTTTGGTATTTTATGTGCCAGGAAAAATATTACATAAAATATCAAACTCGTTTTAAAAAGCCTGGAAAACGTCCGATATTTCTGACTAGTTAAAATTTATTATACAACCTCCACACAGTTAAAAATATGTACTAATGATATAAAGATATGCAAATTTATCATGAAAATGATGATTTTAAGTGAATTTGTTGTCGTTTTACTACATTCAAGTCAGTCCGCTATTTTTAGAAAAGGGGAAAAACGCGCATGTATTTTAAATGCTATCAAATACATTAAAAAAAATCCAGAAGTTGGTATGATATTATCATGCTAATAGATTAAATTATAGAGAAAATAATAAATGGTAACAAATTGTCTGTAATCAAGCAGAAATAGCAGGCAACTCTTGCAACCCTGCAAATTCGTCCTTCAAAACGAAAGTAGATTGTCACATTTTTTTACTGTCAGAACTACAGAGTGCATATATTTATCAGAGGGAAAATATTTGTTTGACAGTGTTTTTAAAACTGTTTTTCCTCCCAGACTTATGGAAATTATTATTTTAATATGTAGCTTTTTATATTAGACAATCACCGTCTACATTTTATTTGAACAAGATCTGGCGCGCCCCTGACGTTTTTTTCATTCCTTTAGTTTTGCATTTGTTTATTGTCAGGACAATTGAATTAAATGATTTTGTTAAGATTATATGTAAACGTTATACAGTCTGTAAAAAAAAACCATCGGACATTTTCTAAAATTAAGATTTTACCGGTCCCATTCAAAGTTTACCGGGGATCCCCGGTGGACCGGTGCGTTTCGGGAACTCTGGAACTAATAAGCTATTGAAGCACTTTCTCTATTTCTACAGTTTATCTCTCTCTCTCTCTCTCTCTGGAATTCAAGAGGTACCAGTATATGTACCTCTCTTTCTTTCTCTCTCTCTCTGAATGTCACATTTTTACCTGTCCTGTCTGTTTGTTTGTATGCAGCTATCAATAATTCTTTTGATTTCTTCATTCTCCAACCTATCAAATGCTTCAGGTCTCACACCCTGTTATAAATAGAAAATGCTACTGTTCGACTCTTAAAACATAAATAATCTATTTTCATCTTTTAGTCCTAAATTTTATTTTCATTTTGTGTTGGAACAATTCATCTCGAATAATGTTTCATAGCCTGTCAGATTTAGAAATGCATTTCTTGCACATGAAAGTGAAAGGATGAGACATGAATCAACATTTACTTCTGATTATTTGTTGTCTATACTACACAGGGTCTGGGAAAAAACATGGATCATAGGCCATGTGTTCCAATTCAATGTTAAGAAATAATCCCATTATAAAGCAAAACAAAGGCATGGTTCCCTAAGGAATTTAAAATAATCCAAAAATTGTCTTATTGTAATATTTCCTTACAGCAAATGGTTTAAAGGATCAAATTCCATTTCCCCAGAAATTTATTTTGAGCTTGAAATAGAAAATAGCACATACTGTTGTTACTCTTCTATAAATCTGAGCTGCATTATGGCACTCTTTGTAGGGATATTCGGATGTTGCCATTTCCAACATGCACATCCCAAACGCGTAAACATCTACCGACTCGTCGTAATGTTCCTCGTACATTTCCGGGGCCATGAACTCGGGCGTACCTTAAAGTAGACAGAAGACGTTCTTTGTACCTAGAAAAGGAAAATTCGAGGGGGAACCCTGATTAGACTTGCGGAATCAACACACCCAATTCTGCTGGCTAGAGAAAAGGAAATGTTTTGTTAGGTACCTGTAATACATAAGCAGTGTGCACACCAGAAAGCTGCACATACATGTAAATCTTACCTTACACCTGGCTAAATCGTAATAAAGGACGGGTCTATAAGAGAGCAATCAAAAATGTTTATACATGTGTTTTTGTTAATACATGTTGAGAAGAATTTTTCCCTTTAAGAATTTCACTAAAATTTTGAAGGACTTTGATTTTAATTTCAACCCCTCTAATTTCTTTAACTTAAATGAAATATGTATTCAAAAAAAATTCGAAGAATGCATGACTTAACTGAACACTTTATTTGAATATCTATTTATACTTTATTATACACTGAGAAAAACCCATACTTACTTTTAATACCTACATCAATTTCGTAAAATGTTTTCATCTAAGAACTGAAACTTCATTGGTCAGGAAATACAAAAAAGTCAGTTATCTGACATATACAGGCATTTCCAAATATAGTATCAAAAAGAAACATAAAAGTAGGTATCATAAACAGGGAAATACTTCTTTTTATCATTATATGTTTCATACAAACATATATGTACATACTAGTATATACTTACTTTTCCTTTAAAAACCTATAAGGAAGCAAATAGGAAAAAGAAAAGTAAAAATAATCTTCTAAATAACATAAAATACACTGAGTAGATATTTACCTATGACGCTCTTTGCAAAAGATTTGTTTTTGAGTGTGGCCAGCCCCAGGTCCCCGATCTTGACCGAGCCTGTTGTGCCCGTAATGAAGATATTGTCACACTTCAGGTCTCTGTGTATCACTGGGGGGTCCCTGGTGTGCAAGTAACACAGACCCTTCAAGATCTGCTTACACCAGCTCTTCAATACTTTGGCATTTATTTTCTTGAATCTCTTGATGTAACTACAAATAGTATAAAGCATTGTTTAATATATGCCATACAGACACAGGATGGTACTTTATAATCAATATCACACATTTGCAGCCTTGGAACTGCTTCTCTTGATATTGGCAATGTGACAATGTTCCACTGCATTGGTAAATGACCATATTATGCTGACTGAAAGGTTGCTCAGAATAGCCAAGTTTTTCAGGCTAAACCGAATATTGCATTAATGACAAAATTTCTATGCTATTTCATGAACATACCAGACATTTTACATGATCACGATGATATACTTAAATAGAATTCCTCTTTTATTCCTTTTAACATGCTTAAAAAGTATTAAAATCAAAGCATATCAGAAGCTGGCATAACTGGGAAGACTTCCAAGGGGGAAAAAAAACTATTATTAAATGTTACTGCATAATGCTGCATATACAACGGAAAACATTGCTTTTTCTGTATAGCAGGGAATGAAAAGCATTCTGCTCCACTGCAGTGATAATGTTATGTGGGAGGACACTAAAATGTCACACAGACATTGATTTTCCTGGATCCAATGACACTTCCAGCCAGCTCAATAAAATCTCGATCAAGGACAGCTTTGACATCCATAATACTAAACCTTCATTTTAAACGTTTCTCTGACTTTCAATTATTCATACAGGTGCAATGATACTTGCAAAAATGCCGTTTCAAGACCCCATGACTGAGGCAAGCAGTAACGTTAGGCTTATCTCACATCTAGGATTTCTAGCTGTAGAGTGCATACACACATAAAAATTCTGAGACAGATTTATGGTTATATCAGTGTCGTTCATCATACATACGTTTTAAGGGTCCCAGATGTCATTAGCTCTGTAACCAAAACAATGATTTTTCTGTTCCTCATATTTGGCTCTTCCCAGGAATCGTAAAATCTCACAATGTTGGGATGCTGCAGTTCTTTCAACATTTCAGCTTCCTCACGAAATCTCTGTCTCTCACTCTTGTTCCATTTCTTATCCTGAAATTCATTTTTATGACATTAAATTTGACATGCTCTCACAAGATTTTTTTTTTTTTAAATCCATATATATACCTTAGTTTAACATTAGCAGATTAGATATTAGGTCTCAGAATAAAACTTGTCATGTGACAGTATCACTCTTTTTTTATTTTTACCCATTTTTATTTAGCTGCCTTGACCTTATCAAAGCCTGGAAAAAGATTTCCATGTGTCTTAATCGCAAAACAACAGAATCAAGTGGTGTTTTGACCTGACCTACATATTTTTATACCATTTGAAAAAGGAAATGATATAACAAGTGAAGATAATTGGAAATACATTTTTTGACTTCCTGCTTACTTGTCAATCATTTTTATCATGTCTGCATGAATTTGATTTTTACACAACAATGTATTTTTATACACAGAAATACCATTACATAATACAGATGTCAGATAAAAACTATTTTTATGGGCAACATTAAAAATTTTCATGCTTTGGTTATTACTAAGGAAATGTTAAATATCATGAGACAATTTTCTCATCAATCTCATGCTACATCACATTCATACACGAGTGACCATGGCCACAAGACTTTCTACATGAAAAAGTTGGGATTTTTTTCCAGCTAGAGCAAAGAGAATTATGTGTATTAGGTAATTATCATTGTAGATAAAAGCCCTATATGTACCTGCAGTTCACACCAAGCCACAGCAACACCAGTTTCTGTGTCCAATCCTTTGTAAACAGTCTTAAAAGATCCCCTACCAATTTCTACATCAAACTTTAAAAATCTCCCATCTGGAGATGTTGCCACAGCTTTTTCATCATTTTCATCCTCTTTTTTCACCGTTTCGTCGTCGTCTGTATCTTTTTTCTCTGTAGCACCATCAATTTCAGAAGTATCCTCCTGCGACAAAACTTGGTCGTCTATTCCTTCGGGTTCTTTAGAATCGAGACTTTTTCCCAACGCACTGTCATTTGTTGAACCTGAGCCATCATAGCTCTGAACTCTAGTTTTTTCCTTGTTTCCATCAGCTCCTATCACAGTTGTTGTTTTATCAATTGTAACAGATCTCCTTGATGATCTTGGAATGACATGAAATTTGTGCTTGAGTTTTTCAACACCTGGTTTTTGAACACTTTTTGGATCTGGTCTTGAATCATCAGAATTATTACTAACATTACTTACACTAGCATCTACTTTGTTGGAATCTTTTGATACGGAATCATTATCAACAGTTTTCTCCTTAACATTGTCTTTATGAGAAACTGACATTGCATTGTCTGTTGAACACGATGGTATACTTGCTGACCTGTCTCTTTCCCTTTTTAATCCCACACTTTTGAATTTTGAACTAGAGGGTGAAATTTTCTCTCTCTCACTCCCATTTATTGCTTGAACTTTGGCTGTCCAATCGTCAGACGTACACTTTCTCTGCTTGCCAAGTCCTCCATACCGGTTCCTTGTGCTTACTTTTGAGACATGATCTGGAGATTGCCTTTCACCCAAACTTCTGTCAGTAAGTCTACGATGTGTATTTCTCTGTCCCATTTCATTACTTGCTCTTCTGCTGATTTTGCTTGCTGCTGACAGTCCTTGATGTTTCATTGGTTTTCTCTGAATCTCAGAAATATTCTCATCCGAATGTGAAATGTCTCCATTTACACTGGGTGGGACAGTTTTACTCATGATTTCAATGTATCAAACTGGAGTGAAGAAAAACTTTAAATCCAACTAGCAAGTCTTTTAGCTCTAGTCCAGATTTAAAGTACAACTATATAGCATGAACCCATTATGTCACTTCAATCGTCCTTTTACATGTATGTACAATAATACTGTATTCAACAATACTGTTATCTACACACTACTTTAAGCTTTAAATTACTATCCCACTTCACTGTATCACAGAGTAAATCCACACACTATATATCTGTTACGTGTCTTGCTATACGTATAAACACGAGAATAATTGGTTGTCTGACCTACTTCCAAAACCTAAACAAGGTCGACGATTATGTTCAATCAAATCGATCGACCTTAGATTTTGGATTGAAACACCAGTCAAAATCCTTGCTTTGATGAAAGAAATGTTCCTCCACTTTTCAGGATTCGTAAATTCCACTTCACTCGTCATGCTTGATATTAATCATGACCACTTATTGAACGACAGCATTCCACAAACCAGACAGGAATGATTTGTTACTAGTGCACTGCGTTATGCCTTTTATTTTCTTCACGTTTCCTTCGGAAGTGACCGTTGGTTCTATTCTATCAAATAGAAAGATATCCGATGGATGAAATATCCATATCGGACATCCAAATATTCTATTAAACGTTAAATCCACATATTTGCAGTCAATTTCTCTTTCCTGTATATAGTCTACTGTACAATCACAGCCCTTTCAATGGCGACGATTCACCTCAGATCATGCATAAGCTTTGGCGTAGGAATATGACTGATATTTATTTCTCTTAAATTATATACTTTGGTATTTCTTTTTATAGTTTTTGAAAAATAGATACCAAATATACTTATATATCTTAAAATACTAACGTTAATATCATAAGCAAGTTATTTCAATAAACAACAGCTTAGAACTATACTTTATGATGATGAAACACACTTCGCCGGAAGTATGACTACCTAACTGTTCGTCTGCTATGTCTATTTTTTTTTTTTTTTTTTTTTTTTTTTTTGAGGAGTGCATGATGGCCCTACAAGGAATATTCATAAGAACTTAACATAAATACATGTAGGCCCCTAATGTTTCTGAATTTTTTTTTTTTATTTAGTTGGTAAATGAAGGAATTATAAAAGGCTACATTTTTATAGATAATTTTATTTTAAATAGCGCACCTAGGCGAACACGTCACTTATACCAATGTGTTTGCTGGCTGTGTTTTATCTTATAAAAATACTTTAAGATAATAGATTATGAGGAAAATAATGACAATTAAAATATCTGATTGACTTACCCTGATTAAAACTAAATAGATTCAAATTTTAATCGCAAAGGCTGTGAAAGGGCGGATCAAAGATTTGCACGGTTTACTTTTACGGTTACCCCTCCCCCACCCCTTATGTTGCACTAAAAGTGGGAAAATGTAATGAGAATGGGAAAATGTAATGAGATTATAATGTATGAATAAAATTTGGTTATGAAAAAAAGTTGAAACTACCACCCTCACCCCCCACCCCCGTGGTGCCTTTGCTACGATAAAGGCCCTATATAATATTTGATGTCATTTTGTGGGGGAAGAAAAAAAAATCGTGTGAATTCATAATACTCCTTTAATTTTCAAGACCCAGATATATACATACAATGTATAGTGGTCACGGAGCGTGGGTTACTTTGCAGGAAGTGAAACACTCGATCTCGTAAAATTTATTACAAGTGAAAAACTTCAGCTACAATATGTACATGTATAACGCGGTCAACACGTAAAGCAAATGAGTTCAGGGTACTCTTGCTCTCTCTCTCTCTCTCTCTCTCTCTCTCTCAGTAGTATAAATTGTAACCTGATTAAGCTTTATTGCATTTCAAATCAGTTAAAAATTTCGGTCCCAAAATTGATCAATAAGTACACTTCTGCAATATCTTTTTGATTTTTTGTACATACATGTATGTATATAAATTACCGACAAAGGATATTGCATGAAACCCTTAACATATATAGTGAATTTTGACTGTGAGGATTGTGTTTTCAGGGAAATATTATGATTTTTAAATGATCTTTTTCTTAACTTTAAGATTGATTAGGGGGGGGGGGATATCAATGTATATGTTGTGCTTTGTCTGGATTGGATAAGGCGAAATATCTATATATCTTTTCTATCTTTAGTGTATCAACCCGTGCGATAAAGAAATAGGAAGTCAATCAAAATAAAAATGAATGTCTTAATTAATCGATGGGTATTCCAAGGTTGAATGTACCACTCTTTACCATGCTGGCTTATCGTACACGTATAGTGTGGATGCTTGCTATTTTCTGACGTGCAAATACTGGGGTAAAAGTAAATACATGTAGGTCTATACATTTAGAATGCTAATCTTTTTTACTACTCATATGTCATTAAGTTCATTTTACACACACTGTTTCTGGGAGGGGGGTGTGAGAGGGAGATATAAAGAGTTTAATTAATTGAATTTTCTAGTTCCAGAAATTCGCGTTTCCTTTAATTTCTAATTTTCTATTTTTCGACTCCCGTTTCGTAATAATTTTGACATGGTGATAAATCACTTAAATTCACACTTTTCACACATGACGGATTTTAAATATCAATTCTCAGAAAATAAAGAATTAAATTTAAAAAAAAATTAAAATCACCACAATTACCTTTTAAAATTATATATATTTAAAAAAGAGAAAAGAGAGAGAAGAAAGGGGGGGGTCAAACTTCTGTCTTATTTTAATTGGATGAATAGTATTTATTATATAATTCTTTAAAAGATTAGAGATTATAAATAAATTTATTAAATCATAATAAAATAGAATTTAATTATACTCTGTAATTATATAATCGATCAACTCTTTATATTTTCTTATCAAACTGTGCCAGACGAGTGACAGCGACGAACTCACTCAACTTTACAGGTGTTATATTGGTGAAGTGTCAATTTTATGAATGAAAATTCAATTTTAAATCCACTTTTCCTTTTTCTATATAGCTCATAAATTTTTACCTACATTGAATTGAGCAAACAGACGACATTCGTCACGTGTAAAAGGGATCGCCCAGTTTCAACAAGCAGACGATAGCCCCATGTGAAATCTAAGGAGCACTGAACCACTAGGTAAATCGGTGAAAGCTTTGTCCTATGTATATTTCACAAGCCTATATATACCTGACCGCCAAGAGGTCAAATAATAACTACATTCCAATAGCCAATCTCTTGTTTTGGTGACTGTGAATCATATAATTCGTTATCTTCTGTTTTTGACAGATGGGGACATCTGTGTATATCTCATGCTATCATCCTTTACACCTATAGCTAATAATAAGTGTATTCATCAATGAATTTTCGCACGCTTGATGCATGGACTCTATATCTTGTATAAATATCCCATAACGTACACAAAAGCCTTGAACTTTTGCACTGGTGTATAACACATATATATACATACGTAAAACACTATTTTTTCCTAAATAACTTGTTTGTTATCCTTATGGTGAATAAATATGTAAATAAAACCACAAACTATATTGTGCATGTATTTTTTTCCCTTGTTTTCCAACTTCCAAAATGTTTTCCCCTTTCCTAAGGAACTTATTAGGTTTGTTATATACAAGGAACGGTTTTATTCGACCCTTTCATGTACGTACGTACGTGACAAAATATATCTATAATAAACACTTTTATATTTTTAAGATAAAAAGATTTAAAAGATATGAAAATATGAGGAAAAAAAACTTTCAACTAAATGTGTCGATGGAGGATAAAGATTGCACAGGAAATAATGTTTCCTTTGATTCCTGTGCAAAACAAAAGGGGGATTTGATATCCTCCCAGATGTACCGTTATTTTTAAAGGAAAAAAAAAACATGCAAGACAAAAAAAAATACAGAAATCATGTGTCAACATGTGCTACATATTTAAATATAATCAAACAACAATTGACAATGGTTGCATTTAAAGTTAAGTAATTGTGTCATTCCGTCCAAGGGATTTTTTTTCACTAATTAGATACCTTGTTTATTCACATTTTTACGGTAATTACTACCACAATAAATAATATGCTTCGATGAATTGAAATAGATCACAAGGAAGACCTTAAGTAATTTTTCATAACTTACTTTAATATTTGTATAATGTTTCATAATCATATATACATTAAGGCTTAACACATTTAACTTTAAATCAATATTCCTTAAACTGATCATTCACAAAGTCAAGGGCAGCTTTACCTATATATCGGCATTGATCTTTATTGTTAATCGAATAGGCAACTTCGTGCTTTATTCGTATACATGTCTGATATTTTGACAAGGGCGCCTTGTAAAATTTATTGATTTAACACTGTATGATACGGGTATCTGTAAAAAAAGAACGAGTTCGTGATTATTTTATATATACTGTAAAAGCCCTTATTATGTGTAACTTTGGGAGTTTTTCTCATCCTCGGAACTAGAGAGGATCGAAAGACAGAACCCCGACCCCTGGATTTCGGAAAGTTATTTCAGTGAATAGTATGCGTCAATAAAGAATAACCATAAACCCCCAAGCCTCAGATAACGCAGACCCCTCTTAATTTGGTTTACGAAACCTGTGAAAAAAAGTGAAGTTAAGTTGCCCCCTCCCCCCGCTTCACACAAACGAACACGAAATAAAGTTTCATTTGGGAAATTTTCGTGGGTTGACTTTTTGTCAACAATATGTTGGTCTTGTTTTGGAACCCCACCACCACCATCATCACTATAAGAAATCTTGAATCCATATAATCCGCATTTCGTCTGTTGGAATGGGTTTATATCTTACTCAAGAGTTTTTATGATAAGTTCAATAGAAAAAAAACAATTTTAAATTAAAAAACTTTTTCACTGGAATGCTTTAAGGGCATGTCATGTAGATACTGAGTATTTGTAGTTGCATTCATTTAAGACACTACGAAACGTTTTGAAATTGTTGTACTAGTCTTGATTTGAAAAAAAAAACACATCTTAATTCCTTTGTGAAAAAATCCAGATGCTTTTGTTGTGCATATCAAACGCTGCATTTACAAAGGAAAAATATCGGCTAATAATGTTTATTGTCAAATCATTGATCCTTTAATTCGCAGAGAATTTATCCGCATAAGTTTTTTTTTCTTTTTCAAAATCCTGCATGCATATTCGATAATTATAGCCTTTTAGAACCTGGAGGAGAGAATCAAGGACTTCGTCGGTAAGTAGGAGAAAGCATATTGATTTACTGCTGTGCTGCCCAACAGCTAACATCTATAGGTATATTCCATGATACATATCAAAGGAAAGGTGTACAATATGGATTATTCACATGCACGTGACAATTTCTATTATAGCTCAGAGCAACGTCCTTTTTAAGAGCCAATACTGGATGAGCAATACAAGGGTAACATGTTTTCCTCGCATACCCCCCCTCTTTTTTTAGACAGATTTTGCCAGCACCTTCCCGATGCCCTATCATTCATTCACATTTCTCGTCTGTTTACCTATTCCCAATGTCTACATCTGCTGCTTTATCGATTAGACCTGAACTTAAGTGTCGACATGTTATTGCCCGTATCAGTGTCATATTTAAAGCGCTGAAGCGTCTTTCCAGCATCTTAACCTTTCTGATTATAAGCATGGCACCAATAGAATTCGCGGCTTTAAGCGGTCGTATTAATATATTGACCCATAATTTTCATACCTTGTGCAAATGATTTTGGGGTAATATACAACACAATCTGTTGTAAAGTTGATTTGCAAATTGTGCACA